ATTGATTTCCTTTCCGTATCTCACTTGCAGACATCCTCTCCCTACTGCTCACCTAGGGAGAGTCAACCTTTCTCTGCCTTTCTCTATTGGGAGTTGGTCCAGCACACATGATGTTCACTATCTCAAAGGCAGAATCCTAGCCAATCAGACAAAAATAAATAAAAACAGCCCCACTTTAAGTGCAGTGCTCCAACCATGAACAAGTTAAAAGTTAGAGCCAAACCTAAACAGAATAGATACAGAGAGATCTTCTTTAGCTTACAAGATGAGGACTGGGTGTGTGTGTGTGTGTGTGTGTGTGTGCATGATTAATAATAATAATAATTTATACCCCACCCATCTGGCTGGGTTTCCCCAGCCACTCTAACAGAGTATTAAAAACAAGATAAAACATCAAACATTAAAAACGTCCCTAAACAGGGCTGCTTTCAGATGTCTTCTAAACATCAGGTAGTTGTTTATCTCTTTGACATCTGATGGGAGGGCGTTCCACAGGGCAGGTGCCACTACTGAGAAGGCCCTCTGCCTCGTTCCCTGTAACTGCACTTCTCGCAATGAGGGAACCGCCAGAAGGCCCTTGGCGCTGGACCTCAGTGTCTGGGCTGAACAATAGGGGTGGAGGCGCTCCTTCAGGTATGAGTTATTATGTTCTGATAACAAATGATGTGGTACTTGTGCCACTATTTCACTCCTTCTTAAAGCATTCCTTAAAGTAACCAATAACTATAGAATGAATTTGCATTGCATTGCTTTTTTACAAAGAATATTTCTCCTTCTTCAGTTGGCAGTTTCATTGAAACAATTTCCACAGAAAACCAAAACATGAAATGTTGTCCCCCTCCTGCACTTAAAACTCATATTTTATAAAGCTAGTTTCATCAGATCCTAGGATGATTTGAAATCAGTTCCCTGCAAGATTTGGATTTTTTTATATGCTTAGCCTGTTTTTTTTGTCCATGGAGTTTTCTTGGCAGGGATACTGGAGTGGCTTGCTGGTTCCTGCTCCACGCCTGCTTCTTGGGAGAAAAGCGATGACAAACCTAGCTAAAGGTAAAGGGACCCCTGACCATTAGGTCCAGTCGTGACCGACTCTGGGGCTGCGGCGCTCATCTCGCTTTATTGGCCGAGGGAGCCGGCGTACAGCTTCCAGGTCATGTGGCCAGCAGGACTAAGCCGCTTCTGGCGAACCAGAGCAGCACACGGAAACGCCATTCACCTTCCTGCCAGAGCAGTGCCTATTTATCTACTTGCACTTCGTGCTTTCAAACTGCTAGGTTGGCAGGAGCTGGGACCGAGCAACGGGAGCTCACCCCGTCGTGGGGATTCGAACCGCCGACCTTCTGATTGGCAAGTCCTAGGCTCTGTGGTTTAACCCACAGCGCCACCCACGTCCCTTTACGACAAACCTAGACAGCATCTTAAAAAGCAGAGACATCACCTTGCCAACAAAGGTCTATATAGTTAAAGCTATAGCATAGTGATGTATGGAAGTGAGAGCTGGACCATAAAGAAGGCTGATCACCGAAGAATTGATGCTTTTGAATTCTGGTGCTGGAGGAGACTCTTGAGAATCCCATGGACTGCAAGAAGATCAAACCTCTCCATTCTGAAGGAAATCAGCCCTGAGTGCTCACTGGAAGGACAGATCCTGAAGCTGAGGCTCCAATACTTTGGCCACCTCATGAGAAGAGAAGACTCCGTGGAAAAGACTCTGATGTTGGGAAAGATGGAGGACACAAGGAGAAGGGGACGACAGAGGACGAGATGGTTGGACAGTGTTCTCGAAGCTACCAGCATGAGTCTGACCAAACTGCGGGAGGCAGTGGAAGACAGGAGTGCCTGGCGTGCTCTGGTCCAGGGGGTCACGAAGAGTTGGACACAACTAAATGACTGAACAACAAAATGTTTAGTAGAGCAATCCAAACTTGGGCTGGGGTTGGCAGAGTCACCGCTGCATTATGTGAGACAGCATAGAAGTGGGCTGAGTGCTTGGGCTCTACTTTTGCTGCACCAATAATAGCATCTGTGGTGATGTCTCCCAACCCCAAAGCCAGGTAGAGGAAGAGCTCTGCCACAAGTCAACCTGGACCAGTATTGAAGATCAGGGGTTAGGACTACTGTGCCCAGTTCCTAGGATACAATGTGTAGTGACAGAAATATTTATGCTAGCTGTGCAATGAAGATGCAGCTGACCACCAATGCAAACTAAATGGACATAGATTAACACTCAAAACCCATGAGTGGAGAACATTTTAACTTTGCAAGAAGTGGTGCAATTGAGGCAATGCAGATTTCTGAACTACCAACCTTCAAGACAGAAATAGGCAGTCATAAAAAATATTAATAGATTGACTGAACCTAGATTTTTTAAAAAACAACTTAGCATCTTTTCGAGGTGTGTGTGTGTATGTAAACAGCGGGTGCTTTTAGCCTAATCTAAAGCTACACATTAGACCAAACCAGAAGATGGAACCAGCAGCCCACAGATCAATTTCATCTCTTTCTTAAAAGAGAGAACAAGAACTTTTCTAAAGGTGCACATTTATTTTATTTTTTTTGGCATTTCCACAGGCTGGTTCTAGAGAACTTCTCCCATAGTATTCACTCGTCACATGCATCAAAAAATTTAAAGCCACAAAGACAGTATGCAAACTACTAACCATAATGCATTTGTATGTAAGTGTACATATACAAAACTATTTTCCATAGTTGAAAGCTGAATGCAGAAAAATAATTTTGTGTTTGGCATATCATTTTGCAAAGATTCAGGCTAATTCCTCCCTAGTCAGATCAGTCTTCTTCAACCTGGTGCCATCCAGATGTTTAGGACTGCAACTCCCGTCAGCCCCATCCAAGCTAGGGAGAAGGCTCTGTTAGGTTATCACCTGTCTTATAAATAGGTCCCACTCAATTTCCACCCTAAGGAATGAATTATGAAAATGATGATTTGGCAACGGCACACACCTACCAATCTAAATTGCTTTTTAACTTCTTGCTAGCGACATCCCCGTCCTCCAGACTGTTATGGTTAGCAAACTGTGTAATGATCCCTTTCTACCTTCTCAAAATGTGATCTTGGGCCAAGGGATCAAGATAAGAAATAACAGTGTCTAAGGTTGGATTCAAGACTAAAACCAGCATTTAATTTATTAAAATAGCAAGGAAGTGTTGTTTCCAAGTCTCATTTGAGATTTGCCAGGAAAGTGACTACACATGTAGTGACAACCGTTACTGAAGAATTTTATTCCCAAATGACGTTCCTCAACAGGAATAACCATAAACGCCTTTCCCGATAGGACTTTTTATAACTCTGTAAGCTTTTGCATTCCCTATTCAATCCAGTAAGATCTTTAACTGACAGTTCAGAGTTATCTACTTTAATCTGTTTAGCTGTGCTTTTCTTAGCTTCACAGCACTCCTGATCGCACCAAGCCTCACCGTTAGTGCTGTCCTGCTATGGGATTTAGCTGGAACTGCTAGAGACGCTGTAAGATTATCAGCTAAGATACTGAGAGACGGAATCTCAGGGCTCAAAAGAGTGTCACATAGTTATAAGCAGTGGCCTAAGGTATCCAGAATACTGTCTCATTTAAGGCACCTAGTCCCTACAATGTCAAGTTTCTCTATCAGATAGCATAGCTAATATTTTTCACTCCAGCTGGAAAATCTAAACTGGGTTCTAACTGGCAGACAGGCACTGCAGCCAAACAGGAGGGAGTGCTTGGGTGTGTGGGGATGGGAGAAATCTACAAAACTTCCAACAGTACACAATGGAACAAAACTGTAGTGCACTGCACTCACTCCCCAAGTGAGAATATATGTAAAATCGTCATATTATCTTCAGAAAACCTTCAGCTTTAGCACTACCTGTAAATTACAGCTGCCTGAGGGAGACAAGAGCTAGCGGAAGAGAGACCTTGTGCTGCCATCATCAGTCAAAGGCTTTTTCCACCTGCCATGCTCCATCCTCCATCCCTAGGAAACTTTCCCAGACCATGACTTCAAGAACAGCAGAAGCAGCTGGAAAGAGAGGAGTTCAGGGATATATATATATATATATATATATATATATTGCATAAGTTGTGTGTCCCTGTTTCTCAATTTGATCCTTTTACATGGTTTTGTATGTTTTGTGGTATTTTGTGCATTGTGACTTGCCGTTATTTTTACTGATTATAGCTTAAAGGTAAAGGGACCCCTGACCGCTAGGTCCAGTCGTGGACGATTCTGGGGTTGTGACACTCATCTCGCTTTATTGGGTGAGGGAGCCGGCATACAGCTTCTGGTCAGGTGGCCAGCATGACTAAGCCGCTTCTGACGAACCAGAGCAGCGCACAGAAACGCCGTTTACCTTCCCGCCGGAGCGGTACCTATTTATCTACTTGCACTTGACATGCTTTCGAACTGCTAGGTTGGCAGGAGCAGGGACCAAGCAACGGGAGCTCACCCCGTTGTGGGGATTCGAACCGCCGACCTTCTGATTGGCAAGCCCTAGGCTCTGTGGTTTAACCCACAACGCCACCCGCATCCCAATGTGCCACCCGCATATTATAGTTTAGTCATTCTTTATTGTGATTGTTAAGTGTAAACTGTTTAATTATTATTTGCAGACATTTAATTTTACTGTTTACTATTATATTCTAATGGATTATTGAATATTGCTTTATTTGATGTAAGCTGCTTATTTTAAAGTTATGTTTTTATTATTGGATCAGATTGTTATTAGGTGTGTAATCTTTGCTGCCTATTTTGTTGTTTCTTCAGCTTGCAAACCGCCTTGTGTATAGTAATATAGAAAGGCGGTGTACCAATTAAAAGTGAAATGAAATTAAACATACACACTTACCACAAGACCCCAGGGCAGCAAACAGGTCTTGGGCGCAGGGTGGAAACAGGCTCAATAACCAAGCACTTAAAGAAAATAGCTTTCTCTTTATCTCTCTCTCTCTCTCTCTCTCTCTCTCTCTCTCACACACACACACACACACACACACACAGGTTCAGATGTAGAATTCTTCTTCATTGCTTTTCCCACCACCAGTTGTTCTGCTGTCAGCAAAAGGGAAAACGGTTTCTCTTGGCAAACGTTTTATCTCAAAGGAACCAGCTGATGGGGAACCTGAATGTGACTCTGAAGAGCTGGAAAACCAATCAAAAGGAAAAGGAAGCGAGCTGGAAGATAATTCATAGATGTTACACTTGGCTGATGGCGATCTTCCTCGAGAGCCGGGCTCCTTAAATCTCTTGACACTTTGCCCTTGTACAGGATGCTTAGTCTTTGCTTCCACGTCACTACTGAACCCATCTGAAACTGAATAAGCCGAGACCACAGATAGATCAGCGAAGGCAAGTTTCATCCCTGTGTCCACATCAGTCTCCTGAACTCCTTCCAAGTCATCAATGTTGACTCTGCTTCTTGTCCTGTGCCCAGAAGAGAAAGTGCTTAAGGAATTTGGCTCGCTAAAATGAAAAGATTTGGGGACCAGCGAAGAGCGCATTGTGGGCAAGCAAGCAAGAGACTTGCTTCGCTGAAATGAGTCGGCAGAGGCTCCACCAGGTCTTCCGGCGGAAAGTGCTTGGTTGTGATTTCTCAAGTCCTGCTGGGAAACGCCAAGGCACAGACTGGCATGGTGAAACGCAATGGAATAAACTGGTTTTGAAGGATCACTGGCTTTGTTGGGAGTCCATCTGCTGCTTTGGGGAAGAAAACTTCGAAGCGGTGTAACGGGAAGGTGCCTTGCAGGAGATGGCGAGCAAAACTTGTTCAGCTTACCACACTTCCTATACCGGGCCTGCTGTGAAGAAGAGGGATGAAAAGGGAGGAGGCCACATTAACAACAAACATTTATTTCCAGAGCTGAATTATCTACTACATGTTAAATGGCCACTGGTTGCATTAATCAGTAACAGTAATTGGCTGGGGTGCCTGGAGCTTAGGGGAGATGTAGTGGAAAATATCAGAAGTGTACCAAGTTGATGAAGGCTACCGTTTACCTTGGAGTAAGTCTTGTTGAATTAAATGTTAATTGCTTCTGAGTAGGCATGCATTGGATTGCACTGCAGAATCAGAACTTGTATCCTACAACAGATTAACACTGCTAATATACAAAGCCCAAGCCTTTTCTTCTTTCTTAAATGGTGGCATCGAAATAACTAGCTTATAAATAACAAGCATAGTGGAGAAATCTTATTCCCCGCTTTGGAGAACTACCCTCTCCAGGGATAAAATCCTCCAGCTGGTTTAAGGAAAAGAACCATTACTGCGTTGTTGCCTTTTCTTTCTCCTTTATATTTTTGGTTTCTGCAGGGCCATTAGATCAAGGGAAGTAGTAGTGCCACTGTATTCTGCTCTGGTCAGACCTCACCTGGAGTACTGTGTCCAGTTCTGGGCGCCACAGTTCAAGAAGGACACTGACAAACTGGAACGTGTCCAGAGGAGGGCAACCAAAATGGTCAAAGGCCTGGAAACGATGCCTTATGAGCAACGGCTAAGGGAGCTGGGCATGTTTAGCCTGGAGAAGAGGAGATTAAGGGGTGATATGATAGCCATGTTCAAATATATAAAAGGATGTCACATAGAGGAGGGAGAAAGGTTGTTTTCTGCTGATCCAGAGAAGCGGACACGGAGCAATGGATCCAAACTACAAGAAAGAAGATTCCACCTAAACATTAGGAAGAACTTCCTGACAGTAAGAGCTGTTCAACAGTGGAATTTGCTGCCAAGGAGTGTGGTGGAGTCTCCTTCTTTGGAGGTCTTTAAGCAGAGGCTTGACAACCATATGTCAGGAGTGCTCTGATGGTGTTTCCTGCTTGGCAGGGGGTTGGACTCGATGGCCCTTGTAGTCTCTTCCAACTCTATGATTCTATGATTCATTAGTGCTGACAGAGAACTGCTTGTTTTCTGCAGAATGAGTCAGAAGCAAAGAGCACAAGGAACATGGACTCAACTGGAGTCTGCAGTTCTAAGTAACAAAAGCGCTATGTACAAACTGATACACTTATATCAGCAAGGCAATAAAGAACTGTTTCTGTCTTAAACAGAGCAGCACAGTTCCCAGACGTCGCACCATTTTATTCTGATTGCACTGTTGTCTAGATGACGCAAAACCTAGCAACTATACCATTCTCTAAAAGTAAACATAACCACATCCTTCAAAAATCTTGCACCGATTTCCCAAAGTTTCCCATTATTCCTACTAAATGCACAGAGGTCTTAGAATAAAATGATGCTATCCTGCTATGTTTTATACCAGACTCAGGTACTTCCATAAAGTTCCACAGGTTGCCTGATTAAACGGTAAAAAAAGAATCTGCTGCTGAACTAATTGTTTCCAAAGTTAAGCACCTTATTACAACTTGTATGTAAAGAGTGCCTGAGAAACTGATAGTAAATAATTTTCAACTTTCTGCTTTTAGGAATCATTTCCACAACAGCTTGGTTCGCCTAGCATGGTAAGACAAACTATGGCTTACCAGGACCATGCAAAAATAGAATCATAGGATTAGAGAGTTGGAAGGGATCCCAAGGATAATCTAGAACCCACAACCCAGAAATTCAGAGTTCCATGCTTTACCAACTGCGCTCTCTCAAGAACAGCTTACAGCACTTTGCTTTTGCTCCCAGGCTGAGCTAAACCACGGTTTGGCTTAGCGTGTTAACTAAACCTGGATTCATGACTACACAATCTCCTGTCTAACCACAACCTGCAGCCAAGAACACACCTATTCTATATTCTTCGTCCTTTGAAAGTACTTTGCCAATATCATCCTAAGAGTGTTGCCTGTTGACTAATCAAATCAAATGTAGTTATTGTTCCTGTAACACAGCTGAAAGATCTTTGTATAAAACAACCTTTAGCCCCTCTAATCTCAAGGAAACCATGGTTAAGCGTGGACATATGAGCACGTGTGTATTCATGGCAAAAGTTGCAGCCATTTCCCTCCTTCCTCAGTCCTGCTGTTCCAAGACACAAAGATCAGCCACGGTTTGGTTTAGCGCTACATCTGAACTTGGGTTTGTGGTTTGTCAAGGTTCACATGTAACTCTAAGCCACACTATGGCTTAGCTCCGGGTAGCAAGCCAGCAGAACCAGGACCAGGGGATGAGCAAAGTGGCTGTGATTTTTGTACTCACTACCCACATTCACACTCAGCCATGGTTTACATGTGAACTAGGCCTTTGGCTTCTTGCTGTTTTTGAATTCCTCCATCATGCACAGTAAAAAAATCTGACAGATTGTGGAAAATTATACAGAGTCAGCCCAGGAACAAACTAACATGGAAAAGAGGTGACAAGGTTCTTTCTGTTTATACAAGGCTTCTACTTTCTGCAGTCCATAAGGTTCAAAGGGAAAGTTTAGAATTGGAAGCGATGGATCTTTCAAACTAGAGAAATACATGTGAATTGTGCTACGGGACAGTAAACTTTACTCACCCTCTGGTGTGTTAACACCATCACCCCAGTCCACACCAAAAGACCAGAGGTCTTTGTCAATGGATGGTGATTAGTATGAAACAATTCATACTGGTGTTACAGGGAGCTCACTAGACCATAGTAATCACCGTATTTTTCGCTTTATAAGACGCACCAGACCACAAGATGCACCTAGTTTTGGGGGGGAAACAAGAAAAAAAATATTCTGAATCTCAGAAGCCAGAACAGCAAGAGGGATCGCTGTGCAGTGAAAGCAGCAATCCCTCTTGCTGTTCTGGCTTCTGGGATAGCTGCGCAGCCTGCATTCGCTCCATAAGATGCACACATATTTCCCCTTACTTTTTAGGAGGGAAAAGGTGAGTCTTATAGAGCAAAAAATACGGTATTTATTATACGGACAATATGCAGGCAGCACATTTCAGTTTGGAAACAAAAGTAGGGACTTTTCTGATGGAACTTAATAGTACTTATTTCCAAGGAAACTTTACACACAATTATGCTGCGTATCGTTCAAACACATTCTGATTCCCACCCCCCACCCCATGCATGGCAACTTAAAATCTGCATTCCCAAATGCCACATGGAGATTTAGGGGTGCTAAGAAATACCTGCAGGAGGATCTTGTTCCCATCAGGATCTTCCGTTTGCCACCTGCCTTCGCTGATCCGGCTGCAAGGATTAGGCAAGAGAGACATCAGCTGCTCAATATCTTTGACTCGGAATTCCAGCAGCGCTGACTCTGTGGGACTTGGCACATGGCCTTTGGGAAGCCTCTTTAAAGACAACTGAATATCAATATCCACATTGGAATAGACAGGGAACACACAAAAGCCTGCCTTTTTCTGACAAACCCGTCTTCTCAGAATGAGTTCGTAGAGCTTCATAACGCTGGCAAATTTTTCATTCCTGCAGTAGATGGTGAAGCGTATTATTTCCTTCCCATAATGCACTGGCCGTATGGCCCACAGAGGAGTGCCTTGGGCCAAGGTGAAAAAGTCCTGGCTGCCTGGCATGTAAGGGAGGAAGTTGCCGTGCACCTGTTCCGTGTGGTGGTAATGCCAGGGTGGCCTTTGAAAGGACTCGTGAAGTTGCAGGATCGGCTCCTCATCATATTCTTCCTTCAGAAAGAGGATTACTGCAAGAGCTGGCTGGGAGACTGTGGCCTTGTCGGGCTTCCTTGCTTTCCTCCTTTCCGAAACGCGGAAGAGTTGGAGATCTGGGTGGATCCATGCCAATAGGCTATCGATGGCTTGCTGGAGGACACCAGAGTCTCCTGGGTCTGCAATTAGGTGCATGCTAAGCAGGAAAGGATCCTGCACATCCTCCACAGAAAGTTCACCTGAATGGAGGAAGGGGAAATCACAGTCATTCTGGTTTGGTTTGCAACGGTTTACATTCAGTTTTCTAAAAAGGTGTGGTTTTCAAGTAACTAAATGAGCAAATGGAAGAACTTCCACTTGTGCAATAGGACTCCCCCCACCATTTCTTCCCCTTGCACACGCCCCACACTGTCCCCAAATCTGCTCCAAAGGGTTGGGGAACCCCCATAACAGAGTTAGGGTGTGTGGAGGGGGAATCCCATTGTGCAAGAAGTCATTTCACTCCTGCATAGCAATAATAATAATAATAATAATAATAATAATAATAATAATTTATTATTTATACCCCGCCCATCTGGCTGGGTTTCCCCAGCCACTCTGGGCGGCTTCCAACAAAACACCAAAATACAATAACCTATTAAACATTAAAAGCTTCTCTAAACAGGGCTGCCTTCAGATGTTTTCTAAAAGTTTGGTAGTTATTTTTCTCTTTGACATCTGGTGGGAGGGCATTCCACAGGGCGGGTGCCACCACCGAGAAGGCCCTCTGCCTGGTTCCCTGTAACTTGGCTTCTCGCAGCGAGGGAACCGCCAGAAGGCCCTCGGCGCTGGACCGCAGTGTCCGGGCAGAACGATGGAGGTGGAGATGCTCCTTCAGGTATACAGGACTGAGGCCATTTAGGGCTTTAAAGGTCAGCACCAACACTTTGAATGGTGCTCGGAAACGTACTGGGAGCCAGTGTAGGTCTTTCAAGACCGGTGTTATATGGTCTCAGCAGCCGCTCCCAGTCTTTGAATACAACCCCTTGGAATCTGTATTGGGTCATACTTGCCACAGGTTTGGGTCCCAAACAGAGAATTCAGTCCATGTCTCCATCATAAATCTGCATACGTCAGATAACCCATAACTGCCAATCCTGTTCCAAGACATATCTGGACCACTAGGCTCTCAGGGTTGAAGTGTGTCTGGTCCAATGGTGCCCAAGTAAACAATATTCCTGATGGAGTAAACAACATCCTAGACAGATTTCCCTGTGCCGCTAACTGAAATAGCCTCAAACCCCAAATTCAGTAACATAATAAAGGACTGGCTGCACGCAAGGGGAGAACTTCTCTTCATTTTAAGCTGGTGTGTGTTCTTGCTGCTCAGTTCCATCTCATTAATTCTGAAGCCTACATCAGGAGCTGCTGCCCAGCAGGCTTCAGAATCTGAGGTGAACTCCTCTTCAATGCTCAGGAAGACTAAGGAGGAGATAGAGCACAGAATTGGATAGATGGAGCAAGAAATAAGTTGGGAAAGGAGGAAAGAAGGCTAGTCCACCCATCTAGGCATTGCAGAGGAGGAACCATTTGTGATATCCTGCCAAAAGTCTCAAGAAGGTGGTACGATGCCAGACTGCCGAACAGGCAAAGAATAGCCAACAAGTTGTCCTCTTTTACGCAAACATGGGCAATGTCACTTCAGATCATACATCTGCCTGCCACACACAGATGACCAGCGGTTCTGCCTTTGATGCGAAGCAAAAATGTATCACTTCAGTCAGTATAATTAAAATAGCTCGCAGTGATTTTGCAAATCTCTTTCAATGTGAACCGACACTTTTAACCCTCCAGCTAACAGACTGAAGAAGAAGAAAACAGCAAAAGCTCTAAATTTGGCATGGACTTTGAAGTTAAACTGGAAACCAACTTAAACTACAGTATATCTAGCAGCCCAACTCCCTGCATGTAGGTCAGTAGAGAAGCCGCGAGTGAGATGATCCTTTTGTGCTTCACTCCCGGAGGTGTAACCACTTTGACAGATGTCACAACCATTTACAATGTGGCGGCAGGGAATGAGAAGCTTAGAAACTCACAAGACACTGAAAGCATCCCTCAAAGTAGAAATGTGCAAATAAATTCAGATGAAGACTAAGGTCACCTCTACACCATACACTTAGAGAACACTTGTGCCACAGTTAACCATCATGGCTTCCCCCAAAGAATCCTGGGAACTGTAGTTTGTTAAGGGTGCTGAAAGTAAGGCCTGCACAGAGCTGCAACTCCCAGCCCAACTCCTAGTCCAACGTCCTCTTCTCACAGTGGAGAATCTGAGCACAACAGCACTCTCTCTATTCAGTAAGTAGATCCAAACTGTGTTAGAAACGCAGATATAGAATCTAATTGCCAAATGGCACCTTAAACCTAGGTTGCAGTCGCCATAATGGAATGCCTTGGTGTTGCTTTGGTTATTTTTTTGCAATGGGATTTATTATTATTATTATTATTATTATTATTATTATTATTACTACTACTACTACTACTACTACTACTAATTTCATTTCTATACCACTTTATAGGGGGGGGGGACTCAAAGCATTTTACAACACATTGCAATCCAGAATAAAACAAATTCAGTCTTCAAGGAAATTATTTCAGATCCTTGGACTCACCAACATTGGCAAAGAAAAAGTGCTTTATACACATTGTATATGCATTAAAGCACTGTGACATCAGATGGCGCTGTGAAGTTCTGTTTTTGCCAACTCAATTTCTCATACAAAGTTTACGACGCGTTTAACTGAAACGCTTCTTTGATGTGTCTAGATCCAGCCCTTCTCTAAGTGACATTTTGCTTTCCCCAGTCGTCAACGTGGCATCCAGAGATCTCCATGTGGTCGCAACTGGACCCACACCACTCGCAAAACACGCCTCGCTAATTCCTAGCACTGGGTCCAAACAATCACAGACTTGAGGCATTATTGCTGCCTACACTTCTTATAAGGTACAGGCAACAGACGATCCAGCTTCTTCTGCCTAGTTTTCATTAGCTACAATAAATATTGCTCTAGCTCACAAGCGCTTACCCAAACGAACATAAGGAGAACCTGTGGATCCAGCCAGGAGCGTATGAAGTTGGGGGCGGGACGCCCTGGGTGCCTCTCGGGGGTGTGTGTGTGACAAGATGGCCCCTGCCTCCCCCCAGCTGTAGAGCAGCCAAGGGCGCGCTCATGCGGCGCCCATAAGGGCTGCTCCTCTCGTGTGCCGTCCATACGGGTGTCCGTACAGGCTGCCTCTCACACGGCGACTGTACGGGCTGCTGTGCATGCTCAATCTGTATGGGATGCCGCACATGCGCACGCCGTACGGTATGCCGCTTATGTGGTATCCCACCTCAGGTGCTGGAGAGGGTTCCTCCGCCACTAGATTCAGCCAATGAATGGCCCATGTAGTCGAGCATCTTGTTCTCAAAGTGGCCAACTAGATGCACAACAGCATTTTCTCTTCCTGCAGTTTCCAGCAACTGTGGAGGCAGAGCAGAGCAGAGCGGATGCCTCCAAGCAACCTTCTGCCTTTATTGGCACTATCAACTGAAATTAGTATCAGGAAAAAGAACATTTCAGAACCTCTAATAACACAAAAAAGCAGAGACATCACCTTGCCAACAAAAGTCCGTATAGTTAAAGCTATGGTTTTCCCAGTAGTGATGTATGGAAGTGAGAGCTGGACCATAAAGAAGGCTGATCGCCGAAGAATTGATGCTTTTGAATTATGGTGCTGGAGGAGACTCTTGAGAGTCCCACGGACTGCAAGAAGATCAAACCTATCCATTCTTAAGGAAATCAGTGACCTGAGAGGTCACTGGAAGGACATATCCTGAAGCTGAGGCTCCAGTACTTTGGCCACCTCATGAGAAGAGAAGACTCCCTGGAAAAGACCCCGATGTTGAGAAAGATGGAGGGCACAAGGAGAAGGGGACGACAGAGGACGAGATGGTGGGACAGTGTTCTTGAAGCTACCAACATGAGTTTAAGCAAACTGCGGGAGGCAGTGGAAGACAGGAGTGCCTGGCGTGCTCTGGTCCATGGGGTCACGAAGAGTCGGACACGACTAAACGACTAAACAACAACAAATAACACAAATCCTGAAACCATGGTCACACTAGCAGCACCCAAGTACAGCTGAAGCAAAGAATGTGCAAACTGGTAACTGTCATCGCAAAAAGCCTTGGGCACAGCCTGAGTTCGCCAGTGCACTCTCTCATTATCTGGGAAGGTTATAAAGGAAAGTACTTTACAGCAACAATGACAAGTAGGTGTGTTGATTTATTTGCTGCCATGTCGTTTCCACACTAGCTGTTTTCTCTGGAACTGAGATAAATATTTCACTCCATTATTACATAACAGGGTGGGAAGCCTTGGTTAGCCTGAGGCACGCATTCCCTTTGGGGCAACCTTTCCAGAAACACAATTTTAATTTTGCTTCCAGTTGACTGCAGAAGAGCAGAGCCTCCACTGTGCTAATGGGCTCTGGTATGGAAAGAAACCAAAACTTCCCCATAATGCGTACTCATTTTCAGCCTAATATGTCTAGAGGCGGGTGAGCTAGTCTTCTGTCTCGCTGCTGTGTGTGTGTGTGTCAGCTCCTCTTAAAAACTAGGGTGATGTCCAATGTTTAAGACACAGAAGAAGACACTACCGTGTAGGCAGTAATGGTCAAACTATTCTCAGCAACCTCAAGTGCAGAAACAACACAATCCCTAATAACTGATCCACAAATCAAAGCAGAGCAATTTAACTGCTCTACCACACAAAGAGAGCTTATGCAATATGGACCTGTAATCTCAAGCAGCAATTATCTGCCAGGACAACGGAGTCTTCTCAACATGCTAGCCCTGAAAATAGGCATCTCTAGGACAGTCAAAAGACAGGAAACAAAGTTTGCTCTGTCGGTTGTGTCAGACTAATCACTTTTCACCGTTCCAGAGCCTTCCTGATGGAACCTCGGGTTCAGCCTTGGATGAATTCACCCAATTCATTCTGCTGTCGGCTGGAAGAGTGTTGGACTACACTTCCCATCATCCCTGACCATTGGCCATGCTGGCTAGGGCTGATGGGAGCTGGAGTGCCATAGATTTCCCACTAGAAAGTCCTCTCCATAATGGGTGGCCTTTTCACCAGCCACAACAGTCTCCAACAATAGGGCACACACTCCACACTGGATAGGTTACCAGGGGGCAGCCAGATATTGTTGTACTCTAACTCCCATCAGTCACAGCCAGCATGGCCAATCTTCAGGATGATGGGAGTTGTGGTCCAATGACATTTGGGGAGCAACCTTTTGGCTACCCCCAAGTTAGGCAGTGTAATTTTCTTTCCAAAACTAAATACCCACCTACTGAGTAGCTTCTGAGATTGAGCTGGGATGGAGAAGATACATGCCTCTGTGCCACCATGGCTGCAACACATGTACCACACAGTTTGGGTCCATCCCCAGTCTGTGTCTGACTGTCATCATTAAGTGCCACACACATCTCAGTGAACGGTCGACCTGCATCTACCACCAGCAACGAAAGTCCTGGCTTGTCCAAACTGGACTGAACTTCTTGACTATGCAAAGGCATGCACTTACTAGCCTATACATGTTTACTTGAAGTAAGTACATGAAGTAAGCCCCTGTTACTTCAATACTCCCAGGTAAGGATGCACAGGATTGTAGCCTAGAGCCCCTTCCTATTAGTGAATGTTCCTCCCTTTTCAGAAAATCTTTCTTCCTCCATCTAGTTCAGTAGAGGCTCCCCACCCACATACAGTGGTACCTTGGGTTAAGTACTTAATTCGTTCTGGAGGCCCGTTCTTAACCTGAAACTGTTCTTAACATGAAGCACCACTGTAGCTAATGGGGCCTCCCGCTGCCACTGCGCCACCGCCGCGCGATTTCTGTTCTCATCCTGAAGCAAAGTTCTTAACCTGAGGTACTATTCCTGGGTTAGCGGAGACTGTAACCTGAACACAGCTGTCAACTTTCGGATTTGAAAATAAGGGATCAGCAGCCTCACCTGTCCCAGGGACAGTCTACAGGATATCTAACAATCCAGGATAGCAGCAGGAAACGGTGCTGAAATAAGGGAATTTCCCGCAAAAAAAAGGGAAGGTTGACAGCTATGAACCTGAAGCGCCTGTAACCTGAAGCGTCTGTAGCCCGATGTACCTAAACCACAGAGCCTAGGACTTGCCGATCAGAAGGCCGGCGGTTCGAATCCCCGCAACGGGGTGAGCTCCCATTGCTCGGTCCCAGCTCCTGCCAACCTAGCAGTTCGAAAGCATGTCAAAGTGCAAGTAGATAAATAGGTATCGCTCCAGTGGGAAGGTAAATGGCATTTCCGTGCGCTGCTCTGGTTTGCCAGAAGCGGCTTAGTCATGCTGGCCACATGACCTGGAAGCTGTATGCCGGCTCCCTCGGCCAGTAAAGCGAGATAAGCGCCACAACCCCAGAGTTGGCCACGACTGGACCTAATGGTCAGGGGTCCCTTTACCTTTACCTTAACAGAAGAACAAAATTATACTCACTGCTGGAAGATGACACACAGCTGTATTCCGACCTGCAGTAAAAAAAAATAAAAAAATGTTAAATTCAGTAGGGCTGGCGAACAATGGGGACTTAGGTTATTTCATTATGGTTAGAGTGTCAAGCTAGCCCCCGGGAGACCCGGTTCAAATCCCCACTCAGCTATGAAGGTGGCTTTGGACCAGTCCCCATCTCTCAGCCTGCTGAATCTCACAGGGTTGTTGCAAGTCCTCAGGAGGTTAGGGAGAGAACCACGTATGATGCCACAAGTTCTTTGGAGAAAGGCAGGATATAAATGCAGTTTTAAAATAGCAGAAAACAGCAGATAGTACAGTATGGTCCATGCGGAAGCAAGGTCTTTAACTTCCTTGAAATAAGTTGGTTGGGGGCTCTATTTTGGACTGCATGTATGAGTGGAATTCCAATTACAAGCTCCTACTCTAATGGTGTAAATCACAATTTTCTGCATGGATGAAGCCTTACAGCTCCCCCATCCTGCCCCCCCCGAAAGATACATCTTGCTGCAAAAATATGTTTTGACTATTACATGCTACATGAACAGTCTGCTTCTTTGGTTCATAAGATGATTATGAACCATCTTGGTTGAAAATGAAAATTGTGGGACAGGTTACACGTACAGGTGAAACTTGGAAAATTAGAATATCGTGGAAAAGTTCATTTATTTTGTTAATTCAACTTAAAAGGTGAAACTAATATATGAGAAAGACTCATGACATGCAAAGCGAGACATGTCAAGCCTCTATTTGTTATAATTGTGATGATCATGGAGGTTCAGTGCCCATGGGATTACTGTGCTTGATTGGCCAGCAAACTCGCCTGACCTGAACCCCATAGAGAATCTATGGGGCATTGCCAAGAGAAAGATGAGAGACATGAGACCGAGCAATGCAGAAGAGCTGAAGGCTGCTATTGAAGCTTCCTGGTCTTCCATAACACCTCAGCAGTGTCACAGGCTGATAGCATCCATGCCACGCCGTATTGAGGCAGGAATTGATGCAAAAGGGGCCCAAACCAAGCACTGAGTACATATGCATGCTTCTACTTCTCAGAGGTCCAATATTGCTCTATTTGCAGTCTTTGTTTTGCTGATTTCATTTAATATTCTAATTTTCTGAGATTGTTAATTTGGGGCTTTCATCAGCTGCACACAATTATAACAAATAAAGGCTTGAGATAACTCACTTTGCATGTCATGAGTCTATCTCATATATTAGTTTCACCTTTTAAGTTGAATTACTGAAATAAATGAACTTTTCCACGATATTCTAATTTTCCGAGTTTCACCTGTAGCACAGAAATATTCCCCTGCTTGACCATACACAAAACATTAGAACATACTGCATGCCCCAGACCATATGCAGACACATCCCTTACACACATGTATATATGTGCCCAAGCACACACACTGGTGCGAGTATGTAGACAGGGATGTGTGCACATACACAATGATCACTGAACACATTGTAATGTGGTCGTAATGAACAAATGCACCCAAGATAAAATATGAAACGGCCCTAAAATTGGGAGACACTTGAATTCCATTGCATTTCTGGATTGCAGGGTGCATGTACCTTAAACATGCCCATTCTGATTGCCAGACTACGATTTCTGCAGCTGCCTGGATCCTGCTCCCAAGTTCCTACTCACCAAAGCTTTTTATGCCCCATATGGGCAGTTTATTAACAACAGGGTACTTGTAATGATATAAGATCTTTCTCTCCTCAGCCCTTTTAGAACATTATATATACCCACATATAAAAGGTACCCAAATTTTTGGTTATTTTTTCAATATCACTACTGCCACTGAAACTGTTCTGCAAGGAAAATGGTTGTGCACTGATTATAACAAAGCCTGCAGAGAGGCGTCATGTTTGAGGCAAAATCCTCACCTCTATTTGAACACGTTCACTTTTTTTTAAAGGATCAAACATTTGTCAAAGTTTCCCTGAAGAAGAGCTTAGCTGGAAAGGCAGGCAACATTAAACTTTCGACGTTCGATTAATTTACTTTCTTTTCCTAAGATTTCCTACACCCCCCCACCCCACGCAAGAATGCACAAATCCCTCAATCACAGCTCACAAGCCCCATTACTTTGGGGATCAAACCAGAAGCTTAAGATTTGTGCGAGTCGAATGGCTCCGTCGGTAGAGCCTGAGCTTCTTCATCTCAGAGTCCTGAGTTCGAGTCTCAAGTTGGGCAAGGGGGGTGGACTAGATTGACCCTCAATGGTCCCTTTACAACTACATGATTCTATGATCTGCGGTTTGGGAGAGGCTTGGACTACATGACCCCGGCGGTCCCTTCCCACTCCGTTATTTGAGGTTTGGGGAGGGATGGGACGAGACGAGGCGCCAAAACGCACCAGGAGCGAATCCGGAGTGGGGCTGATCACCTGTGGGGTTTCCCTATATTTAAGGGCTTGTTGCGCTTGGGTTTCGATGCTGCTTCTTCAGCGCCCGTCCAGGGGGATCCCCATCACCGTCTGAAGCAGATGGGCATCCTTGTCGAGGGAAAGGGACCGGGCACCAGAAGCCCCCGGCGCCGGGGAGGGGACTCACTCACCCGGCCGTCTCGGCTCCGGAGTCCGCGGCCTCGTCCTGCCAGCGGCCGCCCCCTTTCCGGCGCATGGCGCAGCGGCTGCTCCGGCTGCTGCTGCTCCTTCTTCTTGCCGGGCTGGGAGGCGGCGAGGGCGGATGCCGGAGGAGGGCGAGGGACGGGTCGGTGGGCGGGTCTCCCGCGCTGCCCCCTGGCCGGAAGATCCGTCCTCCCGACGGGGATTTGCCCGGCCGGGCTGCAGGCGCGCGGCGCTCCTCTCCGCGGCGCTTCTGCGTCCCGGGACCCGTCGGTGGTGCCAAGTGCGCACGGGAATGCGTAAAGAAAGGAGGATGCCGCGTTTGAGCCAGGCAGAGATTTAAAATCATCATCAACAACAATCATCGCTTTATTATGTATATTATGTATTTCCCCTGTTAAGGTGCTACACTCAATACGCCAGCAAGTTTGGAAAACTCAGCAGTGGCCAGAGGACTGGAGATCAGTCTACATCCCAATCCCAAAGAAGGGCAGTGCCAAAGAATGCTCCAACTACCGCACAATTGCACTCATTTCACACGCTAGCAAGGTCATGCTTAAAATTCTACAAGGCAGGCTTAAGCAGTATGTGGACCGAGAACTCCCAGAAGTGCAAGCTGGATTTAGAAGAGGCAGAGGAACCAGAGACCAAATTGCAAACATGCGCTGGATTATGGAGAAAGCTAGAGAATTCCAGAAAGACATCTACTTCTGCTTCATTGACTATGCAAAAGCCTTTGACTGTGTCGACCATGGCAAGTTCTTAAAGAAATGGGAGTGCCTGATCACCTCATCTGTCTCCTGAGAAATCTCTATGTGGGACAAGAAGCTACAGTTAGAACTGGATATGGAACAACTGATTGGTTCAAAATTGGGAAAGGAGTACGGCAAGGCTGTATATTGTCTCCCTGTTTATTTAACTTATATGCAGAATTCATCATGCGAAAGGCTGGGCTGGATGAATCCCTAGCCAGAATTAAGATTGCCGGAAGAAATATCAACAACCTCAGATATGCAGATGACACAACCTTGATGGCAGAAAGTGAGGAGAAATTAAAGAACCTTTTAATGAGGGTGAACGAGGAGAGTGCAAAATATGTTTGAAGCTCAACATCAAAAAAACAAAGATCATGGCCACTGGTCCCATCACCTGGCAAATAGAAGGGGAAGAAATGGAGGCAGTGAGAGATTTTACTTTGTTGGGCTCCATGATCACTGCAGATGGTGACAGCAGTCACGAAATTAAGAGACGCCTGCTTCTTGGGAGAAAAGCAATGACAAACCTAGACAGCATCTTAAAAAGCAGAGACATCACCTTGCCAACAAAGTTCTGTATAGTTAAAGCTATGGTTTTCCCAGTAGTGATGTATGGAAGTGAGAGCTGGACCATAAAGAAGGCTGATCGCCGAAGAATTGATGCTTTTGAATTATGGTGCTGGAGGAGACTCTTGAGAGTCCCATGGATTGCAAGAAGATCAAACCTCTCCATTCTGAAGGAAATCAGCCCTGAGTGCTCACTGGAAGGACAGATCCTGAAGCTGAGGCTCCAATACTTTGGCCACCTCATGAGAAGAGAAGACTCCCTGGAAAAGACCCTGACGTTGGGAAAGATGGAGGGCACAAGGAGAAGGGGACGACAGAGGACGAAATGGTTGGACAGTGTTCTTGAAGCTACCAGCATGAGTTTGACTAAACTGCAGGAGGCAGTGGAAGACCAGAGTGCCTGGTGTGCTCTGGTTCAGGGGGTCATGAAGAGTCGGACACGACTAAACGACTAAACAACTAAACAACAACATGAAGCAAATTATGTCACTAGACTGATCCTATGATGATGATGTCAAACGGTCTGGGTTTTAGGAAAGGAGTATATCAATAAGTATCCAGCACAAATAAAACAAGTTTTGTTTATTTACATTCTCCTTCTTTTAAAATGCATGCTTTTCCAAAGTTGCTAAAGGCTTTTGAGTTTTCAAAAAACAACACACCAGTCAGTCTGATAGGTTTGTGCTTTTTTATGTATAGGGGAACTCTCATTTTGACTCAAGGAAACCACCATTTTATAGTTCAAATCGGGAAAAATAATTACAAATTCACAAAAAAAGCTTTGGGTTTATGGCACGCGCGGGAATGCGTAAAGAAAGGAGGATGCCACGTTTGAGCCCAGCAGAGATTTAAAATCATAAAGAACAAAAATCATCGCTATATTATGTATTTCCCCAACCACTCTGGGCAGCTTCCAGCACATATAAAAACATCAAGCATTAAAAACGCATGTCTTCCAATTTTATCAGTGCTTTGTACACGTGTTGAATGATCAAAGCTAAGTTGAAATCTAAAGTTGTATTTTATATATATATATCTCACCCCATTTTTTGAGTTATTAGGGTTTGAAATTTCAATTTTTTTGAATAATTTTTTTGGATAATTTTAGCCTACACAAAAAACTTAAAAGCTCAGCCCAGAATTGAGATATTTCAAAACTAAAAATACCGATCTTTTCAGAACTTAATGGGTTTTAATATGATCTGTCACATGATTACTTTAAATTTTAAAGTTACAAATTTTAAATTTTTTCAAGTGATTAAAAATTAATATGGTTTCAAAATTCCAAAAAAATGTGTTGATTATTTAATATTTCTAAGAGCTACCTGCAAAATGTCATATTGGGATCTCAGTAGGATCACATTTTTTTAAAAAAATATTTTGTACATCCATACCAGCCTTTTTGGGTTCTATTTAGGATAAACAAGTCTTCTTGGAGTAAAATATAACAGAATAAACATGACTTCAAACTATAATATCAGTTGCTTCAGGCTTTTCTTTAGAAAGTTATTCAATTAAAAGGTATCTGAGAAGCTAGTCAGGGTCTTATTTTAAAAATGTTTTACAAAGCAGAGTAATAGCTTGCTGTTGCAGAATAGAATTAACACTTTGAAAGAATTCTTGTTAGTTCATGAAAATTACAACATAATACATGTCAAACAAATTTATGACACAGCTTGAACTCTTTAACTGGTGCCGATATAACATCCCTTCAATCTAGTTCTTATTTTCAACAAATGAGGAGTATGGAAAAGAATAAATTTTCCTAAAATGACGCTTTGAAAAAGTAAAAGTGATCAAGGGAACAAAGGATTCCATCCAGTCCAACAGAAATTGTGACCAAGGTGTACTCCTTTAGCAATGAGAGTGAGAAGTTCAATGTTGAAGGAGGCACAAAATCTCTGTTCGTGTTCATCTCAAGCCTTGATGCCTGAAAGAAATGCATTTTATTTATGTTTTTATTGCTGCTGTGGCCAATTTAGTTCAAAGGTGATTAGAAGTAATGTGAGCTCATCTTGTCATTTAAACACGGACCGGAATGAAACAGCTTTGCCATTGCTGTATTGAAACTGTTGTACCTTTACTTCTTAAAACAGATAATCCTCTCTGCAGTTCGCAAAACTGTAAGAGGGAGCCTATTAAGCACACGTTTTTGCCATAACCATGTTAGATTTAAGCAGCCATATGCAAGAACTAAGTAGAAGAGCTGCCTTTTCAAAGCAGGTAATCTTATATGCTATGAAATATTTAGCTAGTCCATTTGATCAGTTCCTCCCCGCATCTTTGGAAAGATTTTAGTTATGGTTTGATACCTCTATGCCCATCTTGTGCTTTTAAATTAGGAGCACTGTCTTACCTCTTGAAACTATATGCACTTCTGTGTACATTTACATGCAATTCTGCAATAAAGTCACAGTTTTAAATCTTCGGTATTCCAGGCATATCCAGACCCTTTTGATACAACTGAGAACATGATAGCTAGTTTTACTATGGTTTACCTCCATCAATGCATTTTCATATACTGCATGGGTCAGTGGTAAGGGATATGGGGAACTGTGGTGCTCCAAGTTAACCATCCCTGCCCTAGAGCAGTTTGTGAATAGTTGTCCTGGGCCCAGAAGTAACCAGAGCAACGCAGTCCAGGTCTGGTCCCAAATCCAAGGGTTCCGCGAGGAGTCAGTCCGACAGGGTCAAGGCAGGACACGAGGCAGGAAACCAGGCAAGGTCAGGCACAGGATCACAGGCAGGTTCTGGCAAACAGCAATGTTGCTCCCACAACCTAGGGCGGGATTCAGCAGCCTTTTATCTCTGTCGGGGTAACAGCCAGTCCTGATCCCCTGGTGACTCACCTCCCTGTTTCGCCTGAAGGCAAGCACTCCTCCTGCGAGTACTCAGGCCTCTCCTCTCAGACCTGAGTCTCTGCAGCTTGGGAGATGTTGGTGGGTTAGTAGACCCAGGGGCCGCCTCAGCCTCTCCTGACCCAACTAGTAGTGGAAGCAGCTGTAAGTGATTGCCCATGTTACAGATAAATCTAGGTATGAGGCTGCTCAGTCACCCAGCTCGTCGGGCAGAGCCTGCGGGTCCCTGCGGAATAAAGGAAGGATTCCAGCCAACTGGAGCAAATAGCTGTAGACCAAAGTTTATTGCGCAATAGGTTCAAAGAGGAAATTTGAACCCTGAGGATGGGGTGACAAAGACTTTTAAAACTTTCCCACCATATCCCAGAATACAGTTCATACAGCATCATTGCTACATCACTGACATGTCACAAAAGGGGAGGGGTTAACTTTGGCAAACATGTCCAGACAAGTCCTTGGTACAAGATTAGCATAAGCAGACATGGCAGGGCAAGACTCGGGTATAAGATTAGCATAGACAAATATGTCTGAAGTACCCACCACCCAAAAGTACAATAGAAGTTCCTTTGCATGTCTGGAGCCTGAGGCGAGTCAGCTGATGAGAGTTGGCTTCCCTTGGCTAACAATGAGCCCAGCAATTGTCACCTCTGGGAACTTCCTGGAGTCCTTTTTCAAAGGGAAAATAGCTTTGGAATGGAGGAAACTGACAAAGGAGTTGATTTTATATTATTTTTAAAGCTAGGTAACTTCCCTGAGCTGTCAAGTTGAAAGGATACATTCAGGCATAATATTTGTATTATGTATTATGTATGTATTATGTATTATGTACTTTAAAGATGTGCCCCCCCGTAATTTCCATAACACCCAGCTGGAGGCAACGAGGTAACCCCCGCATCTGGAGCCAGGGCAGGATCAGGCCCCTGACTCGGCCCAGCTGGTGCTTGTTGCAGGGGAACCTGTGCAGACTGGGGCTCTTCAGGATCAGGCCTCAGGCTTGGTTCAGACGCCGCCTGAGGCAAAGGATCCGGTGCGGACTGAGACTCCTCTGGCTCCGAGTCCGAGTCCCAGGCCATCACACTAGTGGTTATTCATTGATAGTCTCTAATCCCATCCCCGGTGCATTCTGAATTTCATTCTAACTTCCAGTTTCTCCCACTGCATACCTCATGTTGAAATGGACCAAACCAGTCAGGACTGGAACGGGCCACTGAAAGTAATAAGAGTCCAGTGTGGTTTTGTTTCCTTGACCCAGTGGTTTGGGACTGAAGCACTTTACATTCTGGCACACAAGGTTTTGATAGATGTTGCTGTGAAGTCTGGGTGACATCAGAATAAAAATGTCTATGATTCCAGAAGAGGAAATCCCAGAAGGCTTGTGCTTTCCAAGAACTGTTCGTTGCTTTGTAGCTGTATCATAGCATCCTCAATCGGTATGAATTGTTCTTTGCATACTAGCTTTCTCAGATGAGAGAGAGAAAGTTTGGGGATCATGCTTCTTTAACCAAGTGGGGGGAAATGTAGTATCTGGCAAGCTCAGAGTGTGTGTGTGTGTGTGTGTGTGTGTGTGTGAGAGAGAGAGAGAGAGAGAGAGAGTACAATGGAATAAGATAAGAGGGAAGAAATCTTTGGAAGAAATTTAAAGTGTAAACAGTCATTCACTTTGGGTTGGTTGATTTTATTTTGATCCTTATTACACATATGGTCTTTCCCAACCACATTTAGATAACATTTTAAATCATTCAAACCATGAAATGCATGTTCCTCAGTAGCATCCTATGTCCATGTAGACTCCAACTCTCAGACAGCCTTGTTCCACATTTGGGTAGGGTATCGGGCCATTAAAACCCTGCATGCTCCTCACCAGCATCCTAAATCCTTGTGCAGCCCAGCTCTCTGTCTGTCCGGGGCCTGGGCCGCAGCAGGAGTCAGTGCAAAATGACAGTGAGGAGTCTCCTTTCACAAGATGAGAGCTAAATGTGCACCGAGGTTGTCTGTAATATACAAAGCACTGAGCCCAACTAACAGAGACAATCTGTTAAGCTGGCTTTGCTAATAAGTAAACATCTTCAGCCAGCTTTGTTTATTAGGCAGGTGTGTTTTGGAACACAGTTTTATTTGATGGCCAGCCTCCCATCCTCAGGCTGCTGTAGGCGGTGTAATGGATCTGGATATCCTAGTCCACTTTATTCTCAACAATAGTGTTATCAGATAGCTGCAAGCATCTCTCCGTTGCCATAGCACAGAAAACAAAACCCCTTCAGAAGCAGTTGAACTGCTGCCTGGTTTTGCAATGTGCTTATCCAGTATAGAGCTCAGCGGTGGAAATGCAGGGGAACCCTGGTTTCCTGGCATCTTTTAGTTTAGCCTTATGAAATCCTCATCTGTCTCTCATTACCTCTTAACAAAATGTGTTTTCCTTTATTCTTCATTTCTAAGGGTAGTTCAGTACCATGGTCAGCACAGTAAGCTGTGCGACCCTTAAGGAGAACTAAAACATGTTAAGGAAAGATGTGACTGAAGAAATTGGAATGGTTTCATCATCTGCAATTGTCTGATATAAACAGATAGATAGATGTAAGTCGGCAGCTGTATCTGCAAGAAACTGGATTCTTAACTACAAAAGGGCACATGGCAAAGTGTTAGTTTCTACTATAGGCAAGAACCATGTATTGAATTGAGCCTCTTTATGATCGATGGATGAGGTGAAGAAGGACCGGCACGATGCTCAGGAAGATTCACGCAATATTTCACCCCAACTCCCGTAGGAGAAGCCTGTCCGATGGAATCCCTACTTGTGATGGCTCTGCAGTCCGGTTGATCCGTAGCACCTCTATGTATGTACTTGGAGAGGAGGATAACAAATTTAGTGAGCCTTTGAAAAAAAGCAAAAGTACCACCAGCCTGGATTCAGTTGCTTGCCTCCATCTGAAGGAAGAAGAACGGGCATGGATGTACTCAAAGACTCAAGACTGTTTGCAGTACTTGCAAGATTTGCTAGCTTTGAGGAAAAAATACATTGAGAGCATCAAAGATCTGAAGTCCAGTGACAGGGCATCTGATATTTCCTCAGTGTCTACAAAATCTTCCAAGACGAGGCAAAAGTCACCAGCCACGCCTCCACCAATACAGTCTTCCAAGGTAGGAGCTCTTGCATCACATGGTTAAGAAAACATTGCTTATATGTATGACAAGATAAAGGCCCAGAAAGGTTTCAAAAATCATGTAATTAGAAAATCACTATATAACGTTTGGATAAGATATAAAGATCTCCTAGAAAGGAAAACACCCAGATGGCTTTCACCAATGGAAGCTAAGGCCCCCAAAAAGTTAAATATGGAGAATAAATGGTTGAGATACTCTGACCTTTTGCTTGAGGATAATGAAGGATTTAAATTAAGACCATTTGATCAAATCAAAGACAATGTGGATGGCTTCAAGATTATCAGATCAATGAATTATTTAAGCTTGACAAGAAAAATGGTTTTGCAACGGAAAAAAACAAATTGGAAATGGAGTTGTTAGATACCAATGTTAAAAATTTGTCTAAGATGTATAATTTGCTGTTGGAACGGCATACAAAGGATGAACAAGTGAAATCTGTGATGATAGATTGGGCAAGAGATTTTGGTCACAATATAATGATGGAAGATTGGGAAAGGTTGTGGAAGTTTAATAATAATGAGCACAGGAGAAGCGAGACCCACAAATGTGATGTGTTTCTCTCTGTAATACCTTCACTGAGTCCATCCCCCGTTCAGTTTTTCACACACATCCATTACACAGAAGTATCAAATACAACTTACACTTCATTCACCCAACCCTAACCCTTTCCATCAATCTAGAGAGACGGCGACTGCTTGGTTTAAAAAACAAACAAAAGCAAAATTCTGAGCAGCCGAAATGAGAAACTTTCTCAGCAGGTGAGGCCATGACTGCAGAGAGTCTAATTTCAAGAAAGTGAAGCCATGCTTTTTTACAGCCAGTAGCTAAAGAATGCATTGACAACTGTAGATTGTGTTTAACCTTTGGACAAGTTTCTCTCTTGCTGTTCTTCTTTTGAAAAAGAAACACCATTAGTTTTTATGCAAATCAATGTGTTCCGTGTGCTTTAATTTCTTTATTAGCATAGCAGCTGCTCTCAGATTGTTTTTTAAAAGGGCTTTCATTTCACAAGCAGGTATGTTATTTGGTGTGATATTGAGTAGATTACTCCTTTGCAGCAGTGCCAATAGTGATTTATAGTGCTATAGGCACACTAAACAGCATCCTAACAGGGTGATTACTATATTTGTTTACTCAGAAGTAAGTCCCACTATGGCCAATGGAACTCACTGATAAGTGTTTATAGGGTTGCTGCCTACATGTGGAAAAAACATGATGTAACCACTGAAACCCTTAAAGTGTGCTCTTGCACTATTTAAAAAGCACAATACAGTACAGAACCACTATTTCCGGGTGCATGAGCCTATCCAAGAGGCTCTCACTAATATATACATCTCATACACTTGCTTACACTTACTTGTCACCTTCAGTAATGCTTTGCATGTCGCAGCCTGATAGGAAAAGGGAAAGGGAAATGCAGCCAGAGAGATGGATGTTCAGCATGAATGCTGCAACCTGGAGCCAGCAGGAAAGGGGAAATTGTGCTTTCCCAGAAATATTGGGACCCTGCTGGCAACGGTGCATAGATGTGGCTACAAGTACCTTACTATGTAACAGAGGTTGCCGTGTCTTACATGCAGGCTTCAGGAAGCTCCCAAGGCTTGCGAATAGCAGCCTGTTCTGGGGGCTGGGGGGGGGGATAATTTTTTTCTTTATTCCCCCCCCCAAAAAAAAACTAGGTGCGCCCTATAGGCCGGTGCGCCCTATGGGGCGAAAAATACGGTTATTTATACCATGCTCCCAGTGGGTAGCATGCATAAATCTGGTAAACTTTAGCAGTAATAGTTAGGAAACATTGTGTGTGTGTCTCAAATCTGCATTCGCAGCTGTAATCTAATCCGAATATATGTGGGAGTAAGACCCATAGAACTGAATGGGTCTTACTTTGACAAATCAGGTATAGGATTGCATTGTAAACTGTGCATGATTAGTTATCCTTGAAACAGCCTATTAGGTAATTATTATTATTCACATTTTACAGAAAACAAAGTGAGTTTGGGCAGCAGTGGCTTCATTATGGTAGCTTCATGGCGAGGCTGGGATAATGTTCCTGTCCTCATCAGAATAATTATTTTCACTTCACAGAGAACCTAAGTGGTTCTCCAAGCTCACACAGGTACTGTATGTACAGAAGTAATGAGAGCAGGCTCCAGGATTACTGTTTTAAGTAATTATTTCTGCAGCTGTGCTCCTATATTCATTTCTTCATCTAATCCCCCTTCAAGTTGATCTACACAATCAAGCAGAACCACACTAGAGGGTCATTCAATATCAAGTGATCCAACTTTCTTACTTCATGTCATCCAATTTTCTTAATATTTTGTATATTTGTTGAATGATCAAAACCAAGTTTAAATCTAAAATTTTAGCTTTTTCTCTCATCCCGTTTTTGAATTATGAGGGTTAGAAATTTCAAAAATTTTTTGGACAATTTTGGCCTTGTCACACTACACAAAAAACTTAAAAGCTCAGCCCAGCATTGAGACATGTCAAAACTAAAAACACCAATCTCTTCAGAACTTCATGGGCTTTAATATTATATGTCACAATAAGGACTTACTTTAAATTTTGAAGTTAAGTTACAAAATGCTGGGCTGAGCTTTTAAGGCCAAAATTGTTGACTTTTTGAAAAGGTTTAAGTAAAAGCTGTTGATTGTGATTCAGCAGGAAATGGTCTTCCCAAAACGGAAAAGTGGCGATGGAAAACCACTTAATGAATTTTTCCTGCAGTAATGCAGTTGTCAAGAGTGCCAGGACTTTGGCAGAAAAATAGGTGGCAACTGTAGATATGAAGTTGCATCGGTGCCTTGAGAAATGGTTCATTAAAACAAACCCACATGGAGGTAGAACATTTGAGAATATAAGTGAACCCTGAACTCACAATTTCCATCACATTGGCGTTCTGAGCCAGAGCACAACATTATTTTGATTGAATGCAACTCCCTGAATTAAGCATAAAAAACAACTTTAAAATGCAGGCCAAAGACAAATAAGTAGCAATGGGTTCAAAGAACAATTTAGCCTGTGATCAGAGATTGTTTTGTTGAAGAACATTTGCAAGTCCGCTTCCACCATTTTGGTCGCGCGTTTTGTATCCTTGGATATTGGGTTGTTCTTTGCAACAGCAAAGTCTATTTGTTCAAACCGAACTCCTGTCATATTATTCTGTTCAACAGATCTCAGCAGAGAGAAAAGCCTCACAGCTCAATTCAGACGTAACTGAGGCAATAGCTTATTTTGACTCAATTATTGCCGAGCTAGATGCAGAAAGGCATCGGAAAATTGTGGTGAGGGATCATCCGCCACACGCAGATGTTGATTTTGATGGTAAGTAGGCATACAATGCAGGGAGCTGCTGAGTGACCATAGACAAATGACACATGAAAATAAAATAAAATCTATCATAATAAAGCCATGCTGTTCATGAACAAATTTAAAGTTAAACCCCATAATGTAAAAGCTTTAAAAGCTGCTTGACTGGCAGAAATGTAACTGGTGTCCTGTTTTACAAGCAACTAGCTCCTGCCAACCTAGCAGTTCGAAAGCACATCAAAGTGCAAGTAGATAAATAGGTACCGCTCCAGCAGGAAGGTAAACAGCGTTTCCGTGCGCTGATCTGGTTCGCCAGAAGTGGCTTAGTCATGCTGGCCACATGACCTGGAAGCTGTATGCTGGCTCCCTCAGCCAGTAAAGCGAGATGAGCACCGCAACCCCAGTGTCGGTCACGACTGGACCTATCGGTCAGGGGTCCCTTTACCTTTACCTTTTTACCCACTGGAGAAAGGTCCTGGTGTTACCCTGCCTTCTGACATTACTTAACCTGTGGCCTTTGGGGAATGATTTGGTAAAACTTCCCCTATGATGCATACCAACAAGCAGGAAGTATTTTAGGTGAATTTCCCTCAGAGCCACTGAGGGATCATTGTGCCTTTGGCTCTGCGCATTCATCATTTCAGTCAGCAAATAACTTCAAATAAAATCCAATGGGGATGCAGGCAGGAGTCCTGCAGAGAGTGAGGGAGAAACTACACTATTCCACTGGGGTGAAGAATTGAGTGTCTCCATGCTGGACGTGGGTGGCGCTGTGGTCTAAACCACAGAGTCTAGGGCTTGCTGATCAGAAGGTTGGCGGTTCGAATCCCCATGATGGGGTGAGCTCCCGTTGCTCGGTCCCTGCTCCTGCCAACCTAGCAGTTCGAAAGCACATCAAAGTGCAAGTAGATAAATAGGTACCGCTCTGGCGGGAAGGTAAACGGCGTTTCCGTGCGCTGCTCTGGTTCGCCAGAAGCAGCTTAGTCATGCTGGCCACATGACCCGGAAGCTGTACGCCGGCTCCCTTGGCCAGTAAAACAAGATGAGCACCGCAACCCCAAAGTCGTTCGTGACTGGACCTAACGGTCAGAGGTCCCTTTACCTTTACCTTTATGCTGGAGGAAAAGGAAGAAAGCTTGTTTGGTTTGGAGTATGCCAGGAGCGGGTGAAAAATTATGCAGCTGGCCATTAGGTGAGCAAGTTGACAAGGCAGTGGGACCATGTTACTACAAGAGTAACAGGTTGGTGCTGCCAGAAGCAGGCCGAGGAAAACAAGGTGCTTCTTTCTTTGGTCAGCAAGACTTCCAGGGTTGTTCAACATACTATTGTTAAAAGAAATCTTGGCTTAATTTTGCTGGTGAATGTTATTGGGTGATGTGAGAACCCTTCTAAAATGCTTTCAGAAATACAGTGGTACCTCGGGTTACATACGCTTCAGGTTACATAAGCTTCAGGTTACAGCTTCTGCTAACCCAGAAATATTACCTCGGGTTAATAACTTTGCTTCAGGATGAGAACAGAAATTGTGCTCTGGTGGCACAGCAGCAGCAGGAGGCCCCTTTAGCTAAAGTGGTGCTTCAGGTTAAGAACAGTTTCAGGTTAAGAACAGACCTCCGGAACAAATTAAGTACTTAACCCAAGGTACCACTGTATCTTTCTTTGTTAAAACTTTATGCTGCTGTGAAGGTGTATTCATTCCAACGTTGGTTCCCTCTTTCAGTCATTGCGAGCTCACGGGAGCACAGCTTGCATTCCAACTGGATTCTACGTGCCCCTCGGAGATGTTCCCAAGACACTGTCCAAAGAGGAAAGACGACAAGCCAATCGGAGAGAAACAGCCATGGAAGAACAATTTGCTCCAGAAAGAAACTAGAAAGATACCCAATATATCTACCTAAGGCTGTGGAGGGAGCATTCAATACTTTGAAGTTTAAACCCAAAGTGTGCCCGAAAGTACTGCTCTGATCTGGAAGTAAAATGAAATGCCCAACGTGGAGTTCCTTACATATGAGGGCAGACTAAACAATCAAGGGCCTTTATGCATAATTGGGGTTTATTTTTGCATGAAATACTTGACGTAGTAGCTATCTTTTTGATGCATATGGCTCACAGCTCTTCCCTTGAGATTGCACTTCAACAGAAGGGACACTGAACTTTCTAAATGCAGCATTTTATAGGCTGGAAACTGTGACATTCCCTGCCCCCACCCCGCAAATCACACATCTGTTTCTAACTGTCCTTACCATGTAGAATTCAATAGTACAGGCGTCACGATGACGTATTGGACCTTTCCAGTTATGTTGTGAGATACGGGCAAGGCAACACCTTCTTCCTCGTGGTCATACAATTTTGTCAACTTTGTTTATATTGTGGTGTGTGTGTGTTTTTTTAAAAAAGTATTTGATGGCCAACCATGCAATACCCAGCTAAACAACCCTAAAACTGGAATACCCATCTAGGATTTGTTTTTTTAAGTGGCAAAGAGCAGCCGGACTACCTGTACTCTTAAAATGTTGTGAACCTCTTAAATAAATACTTTTTTATGTTAACATTTATAACCTGCTTTTCCTGATGATTGTTGGCCTTTTTTGTTGTATGCTCTCCCTTCTTCTGTTGGAGCACAAATGAAGCTATTCATGAAGCAAATGCATGCCTATACATAAAGGTAAAGGGACCCCTGACCATTAGGTCCTGTCGTGACCGACTCTGGGGTTGCGGCGCTCATCTCGCTTTATTGGCCTATACATACCCATCCACTAGGTGTGGACAGGAGCCCGGATCCAAATAGGAAACATTAAATTTGTCCCAAGAACCCAAAAGGGCTTTAGGACACAGTCCTACATTCATTCATTCATTTATTTTCCCCCAAATAATTTTTATTTGATTTAACACGTGTAGAATTGTAACAGTACAAAATACATATCCATATTTAGAGATTTCTCTGAATCTGTAGATTTGTGGAATATAAAATATCCTGAGAGCTATTGTTCTGCCATCAAGATGCTTCCGTGATATCCCCCCCACCCCCATGCATTGAGGTAAAAAAAGGTGTAAAATAAGGTTTTTCAAACATGCAAAAACCAGTCCAGAGAAACAGACTTAAGCCCTCTTCTTCTCTTCTTCTATCATCACACACACAGATTTGTTTCAGGATATTCTACTACCTTGAAATACAATGGAATTTAACATGGAGTAGTCAAACATCCCAAAAATCAATTTTCCACATTCGTCTTATTATACAGGCGTTTTAAGTTTCTCATAAGATAACAAGGGCAGTAATTTCCTAATCCCCTTGTTAACCATATGCACATTTAAAAGAAAAGTTGAAAATGACCTCCAAAAGTCAGAACAATCAATGCTATTCAAAATGGGTCACATCTCTGATGATATCCTTTGGATTTTCCCAATGCTTTGCCCATCTGGCTCTCTGACTTAACCAAATTTCCAACTCACATCCTTCAACTTGGAATCACTGAATGGGTTTATAAAGATTTCAGAAGTGGCAAATCAGTAGAGAAGCAAATTCCACCAACAGCATTAGCATCTAGCATATGGTGCAGAGAATCAGCATCCCCAGCTGTGGTAGCTTTTGCAGTTTCATCAAATGGCAAATAATAGCAGCCTTATTCTATTGCTTCCAGTTGTTATGGTACTGCCTTGCAATTTAGGAGGGGAAAGAATGAACTAAATCCTATTAATAGATTTAAAGGTCCTTTGAGGGGAACAGCCATCAAAGCCACTGCTCTGTTTCTTAAATTTTCTAAAATTAAACAGTGTAATGGAGCTGTAATAAGCAATTCCCTTCTTCACTCTTTTCCTTTGAAACAATTAATTTACCAGAGTATGCTTATCTCAGTCAATTTCAAGGAGAGACCCTGCTGATTAATCAGTTGAAGGGCCAGACTTCAGAACACTGGTTACGACAGTGATGAGGAGTTAATATTTATAAGTGGGGAAAGTATTTATTAATGAAGGCAAATGTTATTCCCCTTTAAAGGATCTTAAAGAATCAAATGGTCACAAATCCTCTGGGGGCCACAAGGCAAAAGTCCAAAGCCAAAAATCCTTATTCTTTATTTTGTAGGCATCTATGAATGTACAGTGGAACCTCGATTGTTGAACGTAATCCGTTCCGGAAGACTGTTCAACTTCTGAAACGTTCAACAACCAAGGTGCAATGGGTGGCTGGCAATTTCAATAGAGAAAATTGAGAAACACGCCCCAGAAGCTGTTTTGACTTCCAGGGTGCGTTCGAAACGGAAGCAATTACTTCTGGGTTTTCGGCACTTGAAAACCAAAACGTTCAGCTTCTGAGATGCTCAAAAACTGAGGTACCACTGTACACTGTTGCTTTTGCCCTTCTGCCACATGCTGCCCTGGAGGGGGTGGGGACAGGGCTCCTTGGAAAGCAATCTAAATGAGCATTTAGTGAAGTCTTGTTTCTGACGCTCTGGAGCATCACATGATTCTCAACCCCCCACCCTTATTTTATTCTCATAACCCAGTGAGCATCATGGCTTGCTCCCATTGCTTAGTCCCTGCTCCTGCCAACCTAGCAGTTCAACGGCATGTCAAAGTGCAAGTAGATAAATAGATACCGCTCCGGCAGGAAGGTAAACGGCGTTTCTGTGCGCTGCTCTGGTTCGCCAGAAGTGGCTTAATCATGCTGGCCACATGACCCGGAAACTGAACGCTGGCTCCCTCGGCCAATAAAGGGAGATGAGTGCCGCAAGCCGTCGTCCACTGGACCTAACAGTCAGGGGTCCCTTTACCTTTACCTCCCTATTCCTAGACCAACATTCTAACCAAAATACCACCCTGACTCCCCAGTGTTCCCTTTATGGCAGGGATAGGGGACCTGTGACCCCCCCAGAAGTTGTTAAGACTACAGTGCCCATCATCCCTATTGGAAATACCGGCTGTGGCTGATGGAAGTTGCAGCCCAACAATATCTTGATACAGGTTCTCCCTCTTGCTTTTTGGTCCCTTCAATGCAATGTGGGCCAAAGAGGAAAACCACCAAAATAAGATCTAGCCCACAATCTTGCAGTCATGACCAGCAACGTCATACATGGAATATCTTGTATTTTTCTCTTGTGAATCACCCCAAGATCTTTTGATGAATGGTGGTAAGTTAGTAAGCAAATAACTAAGTACATACATACATACATACATACATACCCACCCACCCACATAGCTAGAGATGATTTTCCATCATTTGGAACTATCTTCAGATTATTTATCATTGCACTGTTTTCAAGTTTCCACTTTCTTCTTTAGTTGGGACAGGGCATCATCCTGTCACTGTAATTCTGCTGACTTCACTTCTAAGTTAACTGCAGTTCTAATTTGGTTTTGTCCTGGTCGTCAGTTTTTATTTTATTTTTTTACACAATGTAATAGTGTACAATAAGGTGAAGGCAAACTGCTCAACTGTAACCAGAAAGTGCATTTTCTTCTTCAGAGATGCTCCAGAAGCAAAAAGAGGGGAAGTCTCCTACAACTGGAAGGAATGTCATAGGTGAACATGAGAGAACAGCAGACCTGGGAGCATCTCATGTGCAGCAGGGACTGGGAACACACAGAGGAGTGGCTTGCACTCTGTGCTGAAACCAAAATTACGGCTTTGGGAACCCTCTAGAAAACAAGGTCTGTTAGATCATTAAGATGGAAAAGCTCACAGTATCATCTCAGCATAAATGAAAACATATGTCACAAAGACACCACCTTCTCTGGGGACCTTTATTCCAAGGGCACCACCCTCAAGGTTTGTGCTGAAACACCTGAAATCTTTCACTGCTGAGATTGGCGGGTAGAGGTGGAATAATATATCTGCAAAATCAAAGCTTGTTTAATCATTTCCTTCATTAACACATATCCATACAGAACAGCACCTACTTGATTACAGGCAGAGACCACTTTTCACAGGGGTTCCGTTCCTGTCCCCCACACGGATCAGCAGAGTGCTGTAAGCCTGACCCACCTTGTGTTCTGCCCTCTTCCTGGTCCAAAAGGGCCTGTGCATCAGCGGCCGTGCATCAATTGTCCACATGCAAAATGGCCGCTGCTTGAACTTTCTATCAGGAGTAACCAACATGGCCAATGATCAAGTATTATGGGAGTCCAGCAACACTTAAGGGGCACCTCACTGACTACCCCTGCTCTGTATGGGTCCATCTCCATGGCAGCACTCACATCCTACCGTTAGGTCAATCCACTCACTAGTTAAAATGTTAAATCAGAAGGGTAAACCTCAGGTGAATCTTGTTTATTTAATACAGTTATATAACACCCTCAAACCCTGGAGCATTCTCAGGACAACTAACAATTAAAGAAAAATAATAACAGAGCCATTTTTCTTTCTCCATCTTGTTCACAAAGTTATATGAAGGAGCACTATCTGCAGGATACTATCAAGTGCTCTGTGCAATTGGTTGCCCAAGTTTCTTTGGGGAGGACCTACTGATTACAAAAGAGGCACATTATCCCTAGTTTGGATGAAGTTATTGTGTGAACAAAATGTTAATATTGGGATTGCTCTGCAACACTCTTTCCTCAACTTGGATAAAGTCATTAAAATGAAAAGACTGACTCTCTTGCCCTTAACAGCTGTGCAAAACACTCTTCTGGAATCTAAAACATGTACTGCTGCAGAGAGGGGTGAAAAGTTGCTGCCACTCGCCTGTTTACCTGGGGGAATTGCTATTTACCCAGGGCTAGTGGCAATATTGATTTATTTACTTTTCAAAAAGACTTTCATGTTCAATATCTACACAGCATATTTAAATGTAAATCAGTGTTTTTACAGACAAACCTGTGCCTCAGATTCCAGTGCAAAGCCAAGTCACCTGGGATTTATGTTTCAGAGTAAAGAAACAGAGTGTCGTAGTATTGTACAACCACTTTTAGAAGAACAAAAATACTGGAAAGAGATTTGGGACATAATTGCTTTCATCATAAATTTATAAACATTATTCTGAAATACAGAGAGAAAACAAATGCCGTTTGTAGTATTAGCTGGAATATGAAAGACAGTGATTGTTTACAGCCTGGTTACCAGTTTGGCAGCTAATGAACCAAATTCCAACTTTGTTTAACTGTCCATCTAAAGCTGTCATGATCTAGTGTATATGATGATTACGTATATGCAACATAATGTTCCCTTCATTTAACATGAAGATGAATTTTAGTAATGTAAATAAAAACTTCCTAGTTTAAGCCTCAACACCGTATGTGTCACAGTACATCAGGCATTAAAATCAGTAGTGTTAAGTGTTACAACTCAAAATACATGACCTTCTCTCAGACATTACCAGCTGTGAGGAAACAGCATTTAAGGTTTACATAAATTAAGTATACATGAGTGCAAAATTTAAGAGATGATTTCGAGGTAAAGGCTCATCTAAACCACTATTCTTAGAAGGCAAATTACCACTCAACTGGCACTATTGAGCCAGATTTAAATGCTTTCATCCCCTTCACACTAATCGGGTTGGAGTAACCTCTCTCCACCGGACCAATATATTTTTCTTCATTAAACAATCTATTTGGTCTCAATATATTGAGATATAAATTGGTATCAATAAATTATTATGACTGTCTTCCAAATTGCCTCTTGTCTTCTTAAATGCAAGGGACAGAATCAAGAGAACATTTATGCCAACTTGATTTAAGGGTTAAAGTGAACCATTTAAACCAAATTGAATTCAGGACGTTTCATGTATTTCAACTGAATTGTGCACTACATTTGCAATACATGTACAACTACTTATTGCTTTTAACAATCTTCTGTGCTTCTTTCAGAAGTGTGGCAACATCTTCATCATCCTTGTCTTCAAAATCTGGCTCCCAGTCAGAGTCTTCATCAGTAGGGTCACACTCTTCTTCCTCTTCATCATCTATAAAGCTGTCATTCAAATTGTATTCATTGGGCTCACCATCATTATCACTATCATCATCCAAAACACTTCTTCCTGTAGAGTAAAAAAGACAACACCCTTAAAAGAAGATTAAAAACTAGAATGATAGTGGTGTAAGACCACAATATTATTTAATATCTGAAATGTATCAACTAAATCATATCACTTAACATTTGATCTTCCCAGTACAAGTTAAATTTGCTATACGAGTGTAAGATGCTACACGTTAGTCAATATGAGCAACAATATGAAAACTTGTCCAAAATTTGTAAATCAAGGTCATTGATGGGACAATCAAGGTCTGCATGGGACAATGACAATAAAGATATCGTATATCGTATGAGCCAAGCCTACAATTCCACTCAAGTCTGGGTCCAACTTGTGCTGGGCCTGTCGCAGGTCCAGCAATTCTGCTGCTGACCAACACTCTCTACTGCCCTTTGCTAAAATTTATCCTGATGGCATGGTGGTAGGGATTACAGCAGCATCTTTAAATCCTGGATGCTTGCATGGTGTTGACATCCATTAAAGTCAGAGAGAAGAAGAAGAAGAGTTTGGATTTGATATCCCACCTTTCACTCTCTTTAAGGAGTCTCAAAGCGGCTAACATTCTCCTTTCCCTTCCTCCCCCACAACAAACACTCTGTGAGGTGAGTGGGGCTGAGAGACTTCAGAGAAGTGTGACTGGCCCAAGGTCACCCAGCAGCTGCATGTGGAGGAGCGGAGACGCGAACCCGGTTCCCCAGATTACGAGACTACCGCTCTTAACCACTACACCACACTGCTCTTGGAACTGGGAGTTTCCCAGTGATAGCAGAACCTTCTATGTCCTGACAAAAAAACTCCTAGCTACATGAACACATGGGCTGGAGCATCCAGATGCCTCTGCCTTTTCTAACACTAACCTCCTTCACTAGAGTGAATTTTAGGGAAGGGCAGGGGACTGACAGGGGACCTTCTGCTAACTCACTATTACCCATTATAGACTGAAAATGAAAGAAGCGTAGCTGAAAAGTTGTAAGGAAGATATTCAGGAAAGGGGCCTTACAAGAACTATTTCCCAACAACTACTTCCCATGCTAAGCTGGTGGTCCCTTTCAATGCAAGGTACACACAGCTAACGTATTTTCACATGTCTTGCACTACAATTTCATATACTTGAATTGTCAATGTTAACAAACAAATGTCCAGGAATCAGCACATTTCTCCCAGATAACCTGATACAGCTGTCAAGTGTCCTTTAGAGATCAAATTCTCTTTGTTACTTTAGGAACATAAACTGTATTATGTATTACTTGGTTTGCCATTAAAAGATAATGTTTGGCATATTAAAAGTATGGCTTATTCAGACTAGAAGTACAAACTGAACTGACTTTTTAAACTGTTATTGTGACAAATGGAGCCGCAAGCTTTTACAAGCTGCTAAATTGTAAGGAATCTGGTATCTTATTTTAGCAGTTTATGAGCAGGCAAACCAATAAAAACAGGAGAAATAATCAATATTATAGTACAAAAGAAGGAAAAGTATTATATCCTGTGGATACTATCTTCCCCAGTGCTCCAGTATTAAGCAGACATAAAGCAATCATTTCCAATAAAAAGAACTGAGAAAATGCAACAGGAGAGATCAAGACTCTATGAATACTACTTTAAATTTAAGTAGCCTTATTTTCTCAGCTACTGATTTCTGCTTCTTTGTGGTTCTCATATTTATCATGGATTTCTAAAAATGGAAGGTTTGCCTGGGTTGAAACTTGCTTCTACCGTATTTTTCTCCCTATAGGACGCACTTTTTCCCCTCCAAAAATGAAGGGGAAATGTGTGTGCGTCCTATGGGGCGAATGCAGGCTTTCGCTGAAGCCTGGTGCGCACCGACCCCTCTCTCTCCAGGCTTTGCGGACCTCTCCACAAGCAGCGGGAGTGCTCCCGCTGCTTGCGGAGAGTTGCCTGCATGCCGAAGCCTGTGCGCGCTGAGATCAGTGCGTCCAGGCTTCACGGACCTCTCCGCAAGCAGCGGGAGCCAGCGCTGGGATCCCACGGCTTGCAGAGAGCTGCCTGTTTGGGGGCTGGGGTCGGGAAGCTCGGGCCTCCCCGCCCCAGCCCCACGCCTGGGGGAAATAAATTTTTTCCCTTTATTTCCCCCCCAAAAAACTAGGTGCGCCTTATGGGACGGTGCGTCCTATAGGGCGAAAAATACGGTATATCCTTTTAAATGTCATAGTTCAAAAGTTTCCAGGCTGGGGAAGGAGGCTTTAGAAAAAATGGTGGAAATCTTTTTGCGTGCATGTGGTTTTCCCCTCTTGGGCCTTCACATTTCTGAGTAAAGATGTACAGTGGTACCTCGGGTTACATACGCTTCAGGTTACAGACGCTTCAGGTTACAGACTCCGCTAACCCAGAAATAGTACCTTGGGTTAAGAACTTTGCTTCAGGATGAGAACAGAAATCGCGCAGCAGCAGGAGGCCCCATTAGCTAAAGTGGTGCTTCAGGTTAAGAACAGTTTCAGGTTAAAAACGGACCTCCAGAACAAATTAAGTTCTTAACCCGAGGTACCACTGTACTCACTAAGCAACTGGTCTCCTAATAAGGGTGAATACTTTAAGAACTAATGAACCAAAGGTTTTCTAGCCATTGCTCCTCTTTCTGCTTTGATGGTCACACTTACCTTTAAAAAAAATAATTGCTTAATTTATGAAGTGCTTCACATGAAATATTCCAAAGTTATTCAAAATAATAAATAAAAACCATATACAAATTAAATTCCCAGGTAAATACAGATAAAGACGATGATTAAAAAAATCTACTTAAAAGACTTGTGGGAAGAGGGTGGTTTTCAAGAGGCACAGAAAAGAAAGTGATATATAATGGGAGGAGTTCAAATGGGTAGGTGCTGCTACATCACATGAACCAACTTCCTGATGAGATTGTAACTACTGGAGGCCCTCTCCTGCAGAGCACAGCGATCAGTTGGGTATGTAAGAGGTGACACCTCCCCTTCCCAGTGAGATGATTCATAGGGAAATATGAACTCTGGTTCGTTGTGCATTGCAGCGTGTAATAAAGGCCAATGGAACTCTATGTGGCTGCAAGATAATATTTTTTTTTTAATAATAATAACAAATTTTTATTTATACCCCGCCCTCCTCAGCCAAGACCGGGCTCAGGGCGGCTAACAACCAATAATAAAAACAAGTTGATTAAAATACAATTTAAAAGATTAAGATACAATATTAAAACAATTAGGGAGCAATCTCATCATAGGAGGAGAAAGGAAAAAGAAAAAGGGGGAGGGAATCAAACTGATTCTGAGCCAAAGGCAAGGTGGAACAACTCTGTCTTACAGGCCTTGCGGAAAGAGATCAGATCCTGCAGGGCCCTGGTCTCATGAGACAGAGCGTTCCATCAGGCCGGAGCCAGTGTTGAGAAGGCCCTGGCTCTGGTTGAGGCTAATCTAACATCCTTAGGGCCCGGGACCTCTAGGGTGTTGCTATATATGGACCTTAAGGTCCTCCGTGGGGCATACCAGGAGAGGCGATCCCGTAGGTACAAGGGTCCTAGGCCGTGAAGGGCTTTAAAAGTCAAAACCAGCACCTTAAATCTGACCCTGTACTCCACCGGGAGCCAGTGCAGCTGGAAAAGCACTGGGGGAATATGCTCCCATGGCAGAGACCCCGTGAGGAGCCTCACAGGAGGTGGGGAAGCTCCTTTGTGAAAGTGGAACTCCTTATGCAGGGCTTCTGATGGGAGTCATTAGCTGAATCCCACCCCATGTCTTTGTATGTGAATTCAGTAGGGACCCACTGTTCCTTTACAAAGCTTTTTTAAGTCAAGCTTGTTGTATTAATCATATAGAATATTTGAATATTAGGATTAGCACTGTGGAGACCCAGCAATATACAAATGAATGATAAGAAGAGCTAGAGGTCCTAGCTAGGGCAGTTCTGGGTTTCAGCAGTGGCTGACTCCACGGAGACCACCAGTAAACACCCTCAAGTTCCATGATTGAAGAAAGGTGGGCTGTAAAAGCAAATCCATTAATTTGCTCCTGTATATTTTCTTATTAATATTGTTCAAAGTAAATCTTATTTCAAAGAGAAACCAACCCTCTGCAAGTTGTCTGCTTACAGAAAGTACATGAGAAATTACTAACCTTTTTTAATAGCCTTCGGTCTTGTCTGCCTCCTCTCAGGTTCTAAAGAAACAAAAAAAATACCATTACCAAGGCAACAATAGAAATGAACCGTTCCATATTTTAATAGTATCTGAGAACCGAACTACACAGGAAGTTCTCGGAAGTGGGTAATTTTCAATGGGACCACAGTGCATGGGGAGATGCTTAATTCTTCTCTCCTCAGCTGCAGTCCCAATGAACACGCCCCCAGCTGCTATTAGCCTTAGTAAAAAAAAATCAAACAAACCCCAAACCCGTCCTTTGACACCAATAGGGGCTTTCTTCCTTAGCTAATGGCAGTGTGTGTATGTGTGTGTGTGTGATTTTCATCCAAGCCCCCATCTGCAACACACATTTAAAGCAGTATCATACCAGTTCAAACAGTCATGGCTTTCCCCCAAGACTTTTGAGAGGTACAGGGGGTGGCAAAGGGAAAGAAGAGGCAAGAAAGTCCTGAGCAGGGAATTTGCATCTCCTGCACATTTAACACACTATTTCAACCATGAAGACAGGAGTGCCTGGCGTGCTCTGGTCCAGGGGGTCACAAAGAGTTGGACAGGACTAAACAACTAAACAACAACAACAATTTCAACCATACGTGGTTAAACGTGGGCTGAAGAGAGGAAGGATGGGAGGAAGCTGGAAACCCTAAGCAGATCCAGTGTGAAAAGCACCAGGTCTGCTTGGGGCTTCCAGCTTCATCCCACCTCTGATCTCTACTCCGCCCCCACTAGCTGCCATATAAAAGATGGTCTGGCTGGCCACGAGGCGGCTCCAAATGTAATTTTGGCTATATGAGATTTTTGGGTACACATATAAGCCTTTGAACCAACGCCCCATGTATGATGCCTGTACTGTGAGCATGGACACTGCTCCATTCACAGAATTGAATTATTACTTATGCAAGGTGCTTGCAATAGCCCTATGGGATTCCCCCCCTTTTTTTCTTTGAACAATAGGCATGCACCACGTTTGCCATATTGCTGGCTGTCTTTGAAAGCAGACTTTCAAAAGCAGTTTGCCTAAAAGCCTGGGGGAAGGAGAAGGCCCAAGACTGCTATCTGAGCACACTTACTGAGGAGCAAGTAACCTCCTCTGATGGACTTATTTCAAAGTAAATGTGTATAGGATCACACTGTAAGACTTCAATCCTACATACACATAAGGGGGTACATCCCACCAAACACAGTAGGACTTACTTCTGAGTGAACATGCAAAGGACTGCGCTGCAAACCCATTTAAACTCTGAGAAATAGTTACGTTACTGCATATAGGTATGGACAGGTTCTTGTATCTCAGCTGAAATACAGCTGCATTATATTTGTACCATTTGAGCATTAATTTTTAGCTTGAAAATCTTAACGAAAAGCATCCCTTTTTATGAGCATGCTGAGCACCAGCTAGGCCCACTGTTCGGTCCTCCTCACTCAGTTGTATTAACAGATATAGACTCTACATTTCCTATATAATGAAACCAAAGCACTTTACCTGGTGGTACAGTGTGTTTGTATTCCAGCTTGTGCTGTGGATTTTTCCTGCAAAGAAAAGGCAGGGTGGGGGGGAAAGAGATGAAACCTGAACTTCCCATTGTATAGTCTTCATAACTTTAATAATATTTTCTAACCACTGAAAGCTACAACCATAATGCTCCAGGGGGTTGTGTTTAAGAGGGAGGGGAAATCAGTTATTTTGTGTACTGTAACTTCAAAGTGTTTAACTGATCCTTTCAGGGAGAGAAAGAAAAAAGGCAGGCAAAATAAATGCTTTTCATCTTTGTTAAAAAGGGAGGACAAGTACAATGTTGCTTAATCAAACTGGAGGTTTGTTTTCTCACTTCCAGATGAATAAGATTTCAGTCTGAGCCCTTAGTTTAAGTTTTTATTGTTGGACAATCTAAATGTATTGAAGAATGATGTATATATCTATCAAAAATGGAAAGATTAAGAGGGTATACAGTACAAAGTATTGAGTATTTAAAAAACAGGAAAATTAAATTACTTTTAAGAGGCCTTGAATGTAAACCAATCAACTATGTGGTTTTACTGTATGTGTTTTTTTAAAATCAATGTATTGTGTAATTTGCACTTGCACATGCAGCTGCTGGGTGACCTCGGGCTAGTCACACTTCTCTGAAGTCTCTCAGCCTCACTCACCTCACAGAGTGTTTGTTGTGGGGGAGGAAGGGAAAAGGAGATTGTTAGCCGCTTTGATAAAGCGGGATATCAAATCCAAACTCTTCTTCTTCAAAACAAAATTATATCTACTGGTTGCAGATGGCAATTCAGACTACTATTTTTTTTCTTCCCAAGCCTCCTTCTCCTCTGCAGCCCTGAAAATCTTCTCCAGAGGCTTAGGAAGGGCTCCTGAACTGTGTGGGATTTGTTGTACAGGGCTGTGGTGTGCTTGAGTGTGGAGGGGTGGGGGAAATCTCCTGAAATGGGGCAGAGGAACCTTGTGCAAGTGGTAGTGGAAGGATAGGAGGGAAAGAGAAAGATAGGTTGCAGGTCATGCAACCACCAGATACAACCCACAATCTTCCCCCACCCTAATCTCCCCTCGCCCTAGAGTTGCCTTTTTAGAGTTACATGTGGTTCTTCGAAAGTGGTGTACCAAGTCTCATTTTCTGAGTACATCTTTCTGGTGCTGCCAAGTCGAACTTTTCTGAGAACCTACACTCATCTTCTGTTGGGTCTAGTCAACTCAGGAAATGGTGTCCCAATTGTGGAAAGTGATTACTGTACTTCTATCCAGTGCTATTTTTCTAGAAAATGAGGTGCCAGAACTCACAATGAACTCCTTCCTTGTTCTCTTATAATGGCAATGGCACCCACCTGTCAGGTGCCAGAACTGAGTTCCAGCAAGTTCAGGTTGAAAAAAGCCCTGCTTCTATCACTTTGTATAAGGCACTTTGTAAAAGGGATGTGGGTGGCACTGTGGTCTAAACCACGGAGCCTCTTGGGCTTGCCAATCAGTAGGCCAGTGGTTCAAATCTGTGCGATGGGGTGATCTCCTGTTGCTCTGTCCCAGCTCCTGCCAACCTAGCACATCGAAAGCACACCAGTGCAAGTAGATAAATAGGTACCACTGTGGCGGGAAGGTAAATGGCATTTCCATGTGCTCTGGCACTCATCACAGTGTTCCATTATGCCAAAAGCGGTTTAGACATGCTGGCCACATGACCCAGAAAACTGTCAGTGCAAAAACACCGGCTCCCTCGCCTTTGACTGGACTAAACCGTCCAGGGGTCCTTTACCTATAAGGAACTGGACTTCAATTTGCTACTCCTGTATTTTTAGTAGTTGTGCAGGGGAGAGAAATTCAGCACGCTTCTCACCAATACAAAACCAGCTGTGCCTGCTAAATTTTTCTTTTCTATACAGCTGTTACAGCCCTTTCATTCTCTGAATTTGACTGAGCTGGGAGTAGGGGAGTAATAGACACACATGATAACGTTTTTAAAGTGGCTCCCATGTTATAAGTTGGAGCTGACAATGGGACATTCTGCTCTGAAGAGTCCTCCAACAGTTACCCAAAACCAGAAAGGAAATCTGGAGTATTTCACTGGAGAGGACATTTCACAGTTTCAGTGCCATTATCAAAAAGACCTCCATTGTATTCACCCATCTGATCTCAAGTGAAACAGAGCGGATACCCTGTTTGAAGCAAGCCAAAACACGACACTTAACCTTGGTTTGTTGCTCAAACTTGGTCAAGAAACAGTCTCCAACATTGCAAAACCATCCAGAACTGTTATCTATGGTTTGCCATGGTTTCACAGCCCTTAACAACAGTTTAGACAAAGCTGTAATTAAAATTTTATCTGCAAAGGTAATATATTCACCAGGTGTTTTTAAGCTTATCATTATAAGGCACATTTGACACATCAAATGTCAGGATAGGTTTGAAATATTTAATTATCACAATTTAAAATAAAATTCCAGAGATATAAGTACATGCCCTCTCTTAAAATATTAAAAGTAATAATTTGTAGTAGGCAAAATTTCTAACCTGTAGCAAGCAGTTCCATAAGGGCATTCAGGTCTGTTATCATTGTCAGCTTGAGTTACAGATTCCGTATCATGATAATCACTATCTCCGGGGTGACTGAACTGCTGAAAATGTATAGGATTTTTCCTGTGAAATTAAAAAGACACCATAAGTTATACTGAAAATATGTAATTCATATAAACAGAGCTAGAAAAATGCCATGCCATGCAACAAACTAAATCAAGCATGTATCTTCTAAATGCAGCCCCCTGGTTATGGTGATCTACAGGACAGAACACTAATATCCTGTTCTTTCTTACCCTGAAATATCCTATTCTTTCTTACCCTGAAAAGCTATTTCAGTAATTCTTCAGCATGCCATTCCTTCTTGCTTCCAATCCACTTTTATCACAGGAGTGCATCCAGATTGGATTTCCTTTCATTATTACTTATAGAATGTTGAGGAATAACAGATAATACACCCATTGTTACAAATACATCAGATATGTCTCTGTCTACTCAAAGAGGACTTTCCCCAGGATTATCTAACTGTATATAAAATGTTCAGAATGCTTGCAGTCCCCGGTGCATGTTACATGATAGCCATTACGAGTTAAGCAAACAGTACATCCTGGCAGATGGTTGATAAGCTCTGTTCCAATATTCATTTTACTTGCAATGCAAGAACAATTTTTCCAGATTTGCGGATCTGCCTACTAAGCTCAATAGACCTTATCCAAGTGCAGAAGTTTAGCACCACAATGTTTGTTAAACTTTACCTTCCACCCCGAAACTTCAGTACAATTTTTTAAAGGCTATTCATAGTACAAGCTACAATGCTATTATTGCCGTGTAGAATTCTGTTTCTATTTCCTGGAGGAAATTGTTTTTTATTTACCTAAACTGCATATTGCTTAACAGAGCATCACACTCTTTATCTATCTCAATAAAATCCCCTAGATTCACTTCTCATCTGCTCACTCTAGCTTAATTAAAGCAGGCTTTTAACCTAAAAGCTGGCAATATAAGACCTCCACTGCCCACAGACTACATTACTATACAGCAGGAGGTTATCTGAATCAGTTCACTTAGGAGATTGACAATTTGATTTTACCTGTAGCAGCTTCTCCCATAGAGGCAAGCTATCCTCTGGTGTCTGGTTTTGTCAGTGTTTTGTGGTACATCTTGACTTCCAGTTACATTAGAATTGCCCGTCTCGGTAGACGGATTGCGAAGAAGCTCTTGAATCTCACCCTGGTGAACTGGAGTTTGTGACATGTCCTGATGAAATTGCTCAGGATTACATTTAACATTCTCCAAACTGTTTTCATTTTTATTAGTTGTATCCATTTCAGCAGGCTGGCAAGTGAGTCCATCTGTGTTGAGCTGTAACTCTTCATTATGAAGTTGACGATTACATTGCCCTGTAGGGCTTACAGCTCGTTGGGGTAACATTTTGCTTTCATTCTTTTCCATTTTTCTCACAATAGGTTCAGCAGATAGATGTTTTATATCCTGTGGAAATAAGTGTGAAATTATTCATGAAACAGATTTCAGTCCACAACACTGCAGAAGAATAGTGCCTAGTGAAGTTGGATTAATCCATCAATGTACATGGCATTTTATAGAGCAAAAGCTTAACAAGTCCCTGTCCCCATTGAGATTATAATATAAACTATTAGGAAAACAACAGAAGGCAGGAGGAAGAGTCAAGGGTATGAATGGGAGCCTATAGTTATATGTATTTAACCTTGGTCACAATTATGGCTACAATCCTATGCACGCTATCTTGAAATGAAGCCACAGGCCTGAAAGAAGGGATTTGATGAAGGGTTTGAATGGAGATGTGGAGAGCAGGGGGCACTACCTCCATATTTAGAGAAAGCAACATTTACAACATTAAGAATCTGAATTGGGAAAGATGAAGTTGGCTTGAAACATTACTGAAAGAGACCATGCATGCCTCTGTGCTTGATAGAGTAGAAGGGCAAAAACAGTTCCAAAGCTATCCTGAGCAACTTTAGCTTTCCACCTGTGTCTTCAAAGACAGCCTGCATTGTATGCTTTAACACACCTGACTGAAAAATGTCCAATTAGTATTGCAGGAAGAGTTTCAAGAATAATTTCCACTACTGTGCCAAGAAAATACTGGGATTTGAAGTTACCAACATTAAACATATGTATATCTTCAAAGTAGATGTTGAAAGATTGGACATGAGCATCTCTCTTGTGACTAGCTTTCATTAGTATGAACTGAAAACATCCAATTCTTCTAATAGAATCTCTCTTGGGTAATACACAGAAGTACAAAAGCTAATGTGGCTTTGCCAGCCAATTTTAGTTCTGCAGTGCCCAAATCCCACACCACACACAAAATTCTGTGATAGTTCTATCCACTAACTCAAGCTATAACTTCGGTTGCCCTCTGGTTGAAATTCTAAGCAAACTTATTTGGAAATAAAACCAATTAAAATCTATGTGATATATGTACTTCCAAGGAACTGTAATTAAAATCAAGCTGTTTGGCTCTACTCCAACTTCAAGAATCAAAGTCACAAAAAATATTTGCCACCTACATTTGTCCGTGTATCATGAAGTCATTTGAACTGGAAGGAATTCTCTCTTTCCTGGCAACTGGCTTTCCAGGAGGCTACTCTATACCCATAACTCAGTGCACTAGCACTTGAATTGCACATCCAATGATAACCATTTGGAACTGGCTGTTCGAATTTGTCTGACTTTAGCAACAGAATGGAAAACAATGAGTTAACTGCAAAGGGACACGGAGAAAGATAGTCTTCAGTGTAACAGAATTCATGTCGTTCTTTTGTTAAGCTTTCATGACAGAGCTTCCAAGTATGGAACAAATTTAGTACTCTAAAACAACACCTATGGTTTTCCCAGTAGTGCTGTATGGAAGTGAGAGCTGGACCATAAAGAAGGCTGATTGCTGAAGAATTGATGCTTTTGAATTCTGGTGCTGGAGGAGACTCTTGAGAGTCCCATGGACTGCAAGAAGATCAAACCTCTCCATTCTGAAGGAAATCAGCCCTGAGTGCTCACTGGAAGGACAGATCGTGAAGCTGAGTCTCCAATACTTTGGCCACCTCATGAGAAGAGGAAACTCCCTGGAAAAGACCCTGATGTTGGGAAAGATTGAGGGCACTAGGAGAAGGGGACGACAGAGGACGAGATGGTTGGACAGTGCTCTTGAAGCTACCAGCATGAGTTTGACCAAACTGCGGGAGACAGTGGAAGACAGGAGTGCCTGGCGTGCTCTGATCCATGGGGTCACGAAGAGTCGGACACAACTAAGCGACTAAACAACAACAACAACAACAACAACAACAATACAACACCAGATAAGACATGGTGCACATATTATGGGAGAGGGGAGCCTCTCTTCTACTGACTGCTAGTCCTGATACACAAAAAGGGTTTGCATAGGGTATAGAAACACAATACAAACAGTAGTTTTAAATATCTGCAACTAAGAGCAGGTCTGTTTACAACACCTGTGTAGCAAGGGCAGCATCTTCGTTTTCAGTCCTTTTTCGCTTTTTCCCTGGACTTTGTTTTATTTCTCCACTATTTCCTATGAAAAATTGCAAAAGACATTAGTTATCAGAAATGGTGGTATTCAAACTCTGAAGAACTGCACATGTTGTAATATTTTACAATGCAATAAAACAATACAATCAAAAAAACAGACAACAATGCATCACAGTTCTGCTGTTTAAAATCAATTATATTAGAATCATAGAATTGTAGAGCTGGAAGGAACCACAAGGGCCATCTAGCTCAACCCTCTGCAATGCAGAAATCCTTTGCCCAACATGGGGCTCGGACCCATGACCCTGAGATCAAGAGTCTCATGCTCTACCAACTGAGCTATCCAAGTTTGTCTAATGCTGATTTGTAAGGATCTTCACTAAACTGAGTACCATCCTCAACATGAGCAACACAAAATTAGACAATATAATTTAAGTAGCCTGTAGCAATTGGTGAACACCTCACTCCAGTCTCTGTGATGCGGGACAGAAGAAAATGGACTCTTCAACTCCAGTCAGTGCAGACTTGGTCCAGATATGCACTCACCTGCCAACAGTACTGTAAAAATGCTTATACTTCTGAAGAGTTGGGTTCTTTGCAATTGTTTTCAGCTTTCAACCAGCAACTCCATGAACCTCCTTCACTAAGAAGAGCCATGTGGGCAGGATTCCTGCATTGCAAGTGGTTGGACTAGATGACCCTTGGGGTCCCTTCCAACTCTACAATTCTGTGATTGGATTATTCTATATCATCTATATGCTATGTCTTCTACGAAATTTTTAGTCCTATTCTTACTAATCATAGAACTGAGTCACAGAATTGTAAAGTTGGAAGGGACCCTGAGGGTCATTCCCTACAATGCAGGAATCTTTACCCAGACTGCATGTATACTGATTAGGCCACCTAATGATCCTTCAATATTTTATTCATAAAACAATTAAAATAATTAAGACAGTTGAAATCTCAAGAACTAAACCTATTTTGCTATTCTGCATTTCCTGTCAAATACTTTGCCTGCATAACATATTCATATTTTTATGCTTAAATTCTATGTTCCATTGGGTGTGTCCCATACACACACAAAATGAAGAATGGATATAGACCATAACAATACTTTTAGGTGCTATTATATTAAAGAATTGGTTTCTTTGTACTTTTTATCAGAAATACTTCATTAAGTATATAAAGATGGCTAGAATATTTTCAGTAAGCATATCTCCTCACATGTATTTCCCTTCAGGTGAAGCAACCTAGCTGACAATATGTCTGCTATCTTCAACTGGGGATACAACCTATCAGTTTGCTCAGGAGCATCCAATTCCCTCTTTATCAAGGCTTTCAGAATCAATAATGTGGAGGGGGGCACCATAAAGTCTTGCAGGGTTTCATGGTCTAGAGACTAAGAAGTGGAAACAACACAGTATTATCAAACTGATAACATGTGCAGACTTTGTATAGTTGTGTTAACCACATTTTTAAGAAGACAGAATGCAATGAAGACAAGAGTAAAGTCTCCCAGAATAACTGTTGCATAATAAGTGAACTGCACACTCACCTCTTCCTGAACCTGAGGCTGATGAACTTTGGACTATTATGTCTGCTTGCAGCATCCATGCTGGAAGAACTCTTTTCCTTTGAGGAAGTCTTACTTCTTCATTTTCAGAAATGCTAGCAGAAAACTGAAAAATATGACATTAATTTGTGAAATAAATGAGTGGAATTCAGTGCTAGTCCTACACAAGAGTCCTACTCAGGACACTGACATTAACTGACAGATTATGTTAGGTCCATTAATTTCAATAGGTCTATTCCAAGTAGGACTTGGGTACACATAATATATATTGGATTCAATTACCATAATTAGGATTTCCATAACTGGATTTGTGCAACTATGTCAGTAATTTGTGTTATTACTTGTTAAGCAATGTTTCATCTACTCAAGGCTGAAAGGCAAGAGGCTACAGTGCTAAGAGACAGGCTCTTCCCTCCCACCAAGGTACTGGTGACATCCATTCTTACTTCATTCTCCCCAGCTAAACACTGGAAAGCAGGAAGAGACAAAGAGAATACCACCCACAATATCTTGAAAGTGGAAAGACCTGCTATTTGATGTGTGTATTCTGCCACACATACTGCCACAGAGCCCACACTGCAAGACAGAAACCTTGTTAAAATGAAAATTGGTGATTCACCAAATACATGTCCTTGTTTAGCGTAGCAGGCACTGGCATAATATCTAAAGAAGGCACAAAGGAACTGAGGAAATGTATCCTAGATCATTTTGGGTACATTTTGTATTATATTTCCTTCACAAGGAAAATAGTTTCATGCTGACCAGATGCAACATTAAGTCTCCTTTGTGGAGTGGCACAGTTGGTTTCAGTCAGTCTGCCTCATGCAACCTGGAACAAGTCTAACACATAAGACAGAGCTGTTAAGATTTAATTTGAGAAAGGAACAAGCAACATTATTCAGAAACAGAACCTTTGAAACTTTGGCATGGTCTATTCCATGCCATCATGCTCAATATGTATCCACACCAGTCATCCCATAAAGTTCCATCAACTTGTCCATAACAAAAACACAATCTATTCATGTCTGCTATGCACCCTAACGTTGATAAGGTACCTTCTTTGGAGTTTCAGCTGCTTCTTCTAATTGTGAATTTACTTCCAAAAGTTGGCTCTTGTTGGAGGATGTTGTTTGCTGTGATGAAGGCTGTCTGCGAGGCATCTTGGTTTGCTGAAGTGATGAGGTAGCTTGATTTGGTATGTCTTCTACACAGAGGTTCCCATTTTTCCTATTGCATGACACAAAGGCTCTTTGTAAAATAATCATGGTGTATCACTAATCAGTTATGTCACACCTTGCCTGCAGAGTTGACAGACTCTCATCCTTTCTCTGACACCCTCCCTTGTGGAGTGTTTTCTCAGCCTCTCCTTGAGAGTCCTTCAGGCAGCTACTGCTGCCACCCCTGGTCTCTGAGTCCCCCCCTGCACCCCCAAAGAGATGCCTCCTCGCACTGTCCCATAGGGGCCTGGGACTTATCTGTCCATTCCCAACAGCAAGGGCTGGCAGACTGGCTGGCTTGCTTACTCCAAGGCCACCTCAGCTCCTGGAAATCACCACCCCCTGACCAGCCCCAGAGGCACCATTCGCCTGCTGAGCTTGTAGCCAGGGCTGCTGCAACAAACAGCTGTGCAAGCCTTAGGAAGCAGAGATGCAAGAAGACATCAGAGGAGGGAGGAAAGGAAAGAGGGACAGAGGCCAGTGTTGCCCATGGCACCCCTGACCATCATTCAAGGCACCCCAGGATGCCATGGAACATGGGTTGAAAACCACTGCTCTACACTGTTCTGTAAGCAGAAAGCAGAGACAACAATGCTACTTCTTTCCATGTATCATTAACACTTGATAAAAAAGCAATTTTCTCTCTTGGATACTACAGAAAAAAATTCTACTGTCACTGTGATGTTTCACTTTTGCACTTAATTTTCTGGCATAGCAACTCTTATTGTTTTCTCTTCTCAGGAAAATATTCTTTTTTCTATCTTCTAACATCATAGGAGGATTAGACATTTAAGATAATATATACTAGTATGACTGTACCATAATCTTCAACATTGTGCAAATTTAGAACCTTTTACACCATCTTAATTTTTCCATGGAATAGACGGCACATCTTAGTAGTGCTAAACAACCAACAAGATAAATAATATATTTTGCTAATGGCTATTACCTTGACTCAAACAAATTTTGACTTATTTAGCATATTATACAGTCAGGCTGGGGAACCTGTGACCCTCCAGATGTTGCTAGACTCCAACAGCAAGACCCATAGTCAGGGATGATGGAAGCTGAAGTCCAACAATATCTGAAGACTACAGATTCCCCACTTCTACAGTATGGAAAGATGAAACTGTTATACATTGCAAACAACACTTGTTCTAGATTTTCACATCAGATAGCATTACCTTAGCAGACTTTCCCCCTCTGAAGAATTGAAGAGTACCCTGAAGATATATTTGTCTACTAGCAGGGAAAATCTGTCACCTGGACTCAGCTGATGCCATCTATCAGTATCCATTGGCAATAGTTGGTCATTTTCAGTTGACTGATAAAAACAGGGGTTTACATGGACCTGCAAATTAAGAAGAGACTCTTACTACAGATGATATGTAATCTGATACTACAGATTACAGACTCAGGCCTAATTACCTTATTTTGGAATATGATTACCTTTTTTATCCCAATTTCTGTTTGGAGCATTAAAGATGAAAGCTAGAACATGTAAAATCAGAACCTCCAAGACTGATTTTTATTATTTTTATTGTACTGAGAAATAGGAAACAGTTACCGGTTTGATGCTAAGCTGGTCACCAACTACCTTCAGAATAGCGTGTTTCCTGGATACTCTTTTATCTGTAATCTGTAAAGACACAAAACCGACAGATGTCAACAGTGGGGGCATAAAACCCACCAATAAAGATATCTAAAAATAATAAAGCTACTATATAGTTTTTACTGTGATAACAAAATTTGTTAGCTTCACTTTTTAGTATAAAAATATTGTTCACTTTGTTGACAAGTTAAATGCTAAAACGTTCATCAAAGCCAAGAAAAGCAAATCTGAGTTTTATCAAAATCTGAGTTTTATCAAAATGAGAAGCTACCTTCCATTTATACCGATGAGTTTCAACTGAATGATGAGAGGAGGGAGGTGTTTGGTTTCTGTTTTAAAAAAACCCTCCTAAAACCTTCCTCTATTTAGATAACTCATTCTAGGGAAAATTGGTAATTCCAGACAACGGTGTTTAGAATACTTTGTGTAGTTGCAACATTAAAGTTACTTATTAAGATCTTATAGAGATGCTTGGAGCATCAATATAAAGTAGGATATGTGTTGGTTATAGGAGTATATTGAGGGTGGGGGTGATTTTTTTTTAGCTATAAAGGACATCTACAAGGAAAAGTTCACTCTCCAAATTCATGCCTTATGGATAAATTCTATCCGGCCTACAAAGGGAAGAGTACAGTAGTAGAAATTAATAAACTAGCACTACAACTAGTGTAGGGTAGTAATTAAAAGCACCAATATAATACCAAGTGTACAAACTAACAAACACAAGAAACTAATACAACTAAGAGGAAAAGTAATTAAAGCAATTATAATTGAATTTAGAGAAGCCACTTCCCAAGAACATCCTCTGATTACTTCCAAATGGGTAACTAACATACTCTATGGGCTTCAAAAAGTATAGTGAGGGGGATATATTTACAGTATCAGTGGATTGTGACCTCTAGTGTGTAATACAGTTAGCGCACTTGACCAAAAAGACAACACAACTCAGGAGAAAAGGGGGGGGGATGGGGAAAAGCCCCCCCCCCACAGTGCTTTCTTCACCCTGTGTTCTCCACCAGCTGCTAAGAATATTCCCAGCAACAGACAGCAGCAACTGGAACTACTCCTGCACTTGTGGGCAGAAAACTGTGTGTAACTATGAGGGTTTACACAACCCGCCTTGAGCACTGAGAACACTGGTCATTTTAGCTAGCCCCTTTGTTCACTGATTGCACATTCAGCCATATGAAGTAGCTCTATGTACATAGAAATCCTCCATTTTGGACCAATATGGATCCTCCTTCACGTGGAGGTGGCCTATGGGGCCAGAACAGATATCATAATTTGGGTAGGGCTGCTAACTAGAAAACTAGGATACTAACTGGGATCCCACAACCCCACCATATACACTTCTAATGTGTGAGGGACTCGTGCAAACTTCCCTAACACATCAGATGAAGAAACAGCAACAGTTTGCTCAGCTTCAGCCAATGCAAGGAACTGCTGGGCAACAGGAACACAACTTTCAGCAGTGAGTTGTACAGTGGTACCTCGGGTTAAGAACTTAATTTGTTCCGGAGGTCTGTTCTTATGCCACCACCGCACGATTTCTGTTTTCATCCTGAAGCAAAGTTCTTAACCCGAGGTACTATTTCTGGGTTAGTGGAGTCTGTAACCTGAAGCGTCTGTAACCCAAGGTACCACTGTACACCTTTAGAGTGCAATTCACACACACCAATAACACAAGGTGGAAAAGGGAGCCTCTCGGTATGCCTTTAGCTAATTTTGCTTAGTGTCTTTGCATGTATATAAAGCTGGCTTTCCAACCAGGTCTGTCTCTTTGCACACCAGATTATGAAGTGCAAAATGCATCGGGAGCTACAAGAATAAACATACTGGATAGAATTCCTAGGATTGTACAAAGATTGCATGTAGTTGTGTGTTCTGTTATAGCATGTTTGGTCATTAATACCATAATATTAAAACACCCAGTTTAAACCTAGTTGACTCTAGGGAAAAAGCAGCTTCCACTGCAAGTCTCCCAGTCTCTCACCTAAAAGTGGAGATTCCAAGACACATTATTCAGAGAGTAACCCAAGCCCAGATCTATGGAGAGCCACTGCAGTAGGACAAACACAAAAAGCTGCCTTATACCATTGGTCCCTCTATCTCAGCATTGTCTTCACTGACTGGCAGCAAGGGCTCCAGTATTTCAGACAGGGAGTCTCTCTCTCCCAGCTCAGTCTGGAAATGCCACTGGAGGGTGTTGAACCTGGGATGTTCTGCTTGCAAGGCAAACACTCTGCCACTGTGCTATGGCCCATCCTAAATAAATAAATAGGAAGCTGGCTTACACAGACCATTGGTCCCTCTAGCTCAGTTGTTGTCTGCACAAACTGGCACCAATAGCTCTCTGGAATTTCAGATAGGGAGCCTCTCCATCTCCAAAGCCCAGTCTGGAGATGCCACTCAGGAGGCTGAACCGAGGACGTTCTGCATGCCAAGCAGGCTCCCTGTCACCAAGCCACAACCACCTGGAGTAGCCGCTGTATGCCTTTTTTCCTCTCGGAGAGATGCTGCAAAAGATTTGCAGCCAAAAAATTGGAAAGCCTTCCCTCCTAGCCAGATTTGGAACATACCGGGCCAGCTGAACCAATGGTCTCATCTGGGGGGAGGTGGGCGTCATGAGTTTGAGAAGAAGAACAGTTTGGATTTGATATCCCACTTTATCACTACCCAAAGGAGTCTCAAAGCGGCTCACATTCTCCTTTCCCTTCCTCCCCCACAACAAACACTCTGCGAGGTGAGTGGGGCTGAGAGACTTCAAAGAAGTGTGACTGGCCCAAGGTCACCCAGCAGCTGCATGTGGAGGAACGGGGAATCGAACCCGGTTCACCAGATTACGAGTCTACCGTTCCTAACCACTACACCACACTGGCTCCCAAATATTTGTGTGGCGCAATGGGTCAGTGCATCTGGCTGTTAACCAGAAGGTTGGTGGTTTGAGCCCACCCTGGGGGCAGGATTGCAGCATGGCCGAGGACTGGACTAGATGACCCATGTGGTCCCCTCCAACATAATAATAATTTATTATTTATACCCCGCCCATCTGGCTGAGTTTCCCCAGCCACTCTGGGCGGCTCCCAATCGAGTGTTAAAAACAATACAGCATTAAATATTTTAAAATTCCCTAAACAGGGCTGCCTTCAGGTGTCTTTTAAAGATAGGATAGCTGCTTATTTCCTGTCTGAAGGGAGGGGAGGGCGTTCCACAGGGCGGGCGCCACTACCGAGAAGGCCCTCTGCCTGGTTCCCTGTAACCTCACTTCTCGCAGCGAGGGAACCGCCAGAAGCCCCTGGGCGCTGGATCTCAGTGTCCGGGCAGAAAGATGGGGGTGGAGACGCTCCTTCAGGTATACAGGCCAACATTACAGTCCTATGATCTAAGATCTCCGTCTTCTTCCTCTTGCACCAACTCCACCGCGACCCACCCGCCTACCCCAGACACCTCTGGAGCGCCGCCAGGGGGGCACTTACTCCCAGCAGGGCACCTCTTCCTATCACTGTCTCCCCAGGCGGCAGCACCACGGGGCAACCCCCGTCCGCCGGCGCCAACTCAAACCCTGGCATGAAGGTCCAGCAGGGCCTCTCACAGGGAGGGGGACGCAAAACACGGGCGGACCGCCTCGCCACTTCCGCTCCGCCTCTCCACTGAAACTGAGGTAAAAAGTTCCGGCCTGCGAAAAAAAATAATGAAAATAAACAAAAAATAAAAATAATAAATAAAATTAAAATAAAATAAATAATAATAATAGTAGTAGCAGTAGAAGAAGAAGACGAAGAAGAAGAAAAGTCCCCTGTTCTTTATCAAACTACATCCCCCACAACGCACTTCGGCGACGGCAGCTTCTCCTCAGAGCCTCCGTGATTACGTCAACGGAGCGGTTGGGGGAACGAATGGCGTTCGAATGGAGAAACCGTTTGGGCCGTTAACGGCCGCTGCGCGCGGACGAACGCAGGTGAGTGGCAGGCGCTTCGGCGAGTCGCGAGGCGGCCCCGCGCGGCTGAGTGGTGACGGCGGTGCCGCGAGCGCTCGAGACATCCAATCCCCGAGTAGAAAGGGGAGGGGAGGGGGCGCAACTGGAAGCCGGTTTAGCGATTGGGGGCGTGGTGGGAGAGTATCCCGAGGCTCCCATTGGCCACAGCTGGCCGTGTAAACAAACATTGCCTGAGTCAATTCGCCTCAATCCTGTCAAAACTTACCAGGGCTACCAGGAAAAACACATACAAAACATTTTCCTCAAAACACTTGCATTCTCGATAAACTGACCCAAAGTAACTAGCACCTTCTGGTGCTCACAGTCCATACAAATTTAATTACTTAATAATAAGAATAAGGCCTAGCTGCCCAAATACTCACAGAAATTCAGAGCAGTTGCATAGCCACCAATTGCACGCGACCACTTTTTAAATTAGAGTCAAATAAATACGTTTTTAACTCGGGTGATTGGGGGGAGGGAGAGAAACAAATAAATACATTTTAAACTCGGAGGGCGGACCAAACCAGAAAAATCTAATGGCTCTTTATGTTAGATGCAACTCACACTCGTATGTCTTTACAGTAGTTATTTCCCCTTCCTCAAATCCAAACAGTTGCTACTTCTGTGTTTGCCTTTTGTTTTATTTCCACATTTAACAGGCTTGTCCACACTTAGCTTGTCCAGTGGCTAGAAAGCACAGGTCCAAGATGCTTTCCTCTTGCCCGGGGCTTTCTAGTCATGGGTCCAAGCAGTTTTCCGTTTGCCCCGCTGCTTTCCTTGGGGAAACCCACTCTTTTCTGCCGGATTAGCACAAACATCAGTCTGTGAAAAACCTGACCAGTGTTTGCTCCAGTTCCACAGTAAAGAGCAGGTTTAAAAGTGGCGGGACAAGCAGAAGCGTGGATGATCCCAAAAGGATTGATACATATTATGAAAACCTGGGGGGAAATAGTGTCAAGAGAGGAAGTCCCAAAACATAGAATCATACAATTGTAAAGTTGGAAGGGATCCTGAGGGTCATCTTGTCCAATCCCCTGCAAAGCAGGACTCTCAACTAAAGCATCCATGACAGATAGCCATCCAACCTCTGCTTAAAAACCTGCAGGGAAGGAGAGTCCACCACCTTTCCACGGTCGAACAGCTCTTACTGTCAGAAAGTTCTTCCTGGTGTTTAGTCAAAATCTCTCTTCCTGTAACTGGAAGCCATTGGTTTAGGTCCTTCCCTCTGGAGCAGGAGAAATGAGCTTGCCCCATCTTCCATGTTACAGCCCTTAAGATATTTGAAGACAGTTCTCAATCTCCTCTCAGTCTCCTTTTTCAGCAGGCTAAAGAGCAGTGCTGTTTTGCAGCCCAAGCAAGGACTGCTGTGCATTTTTGCATTTATTAAGGCCCCACATTCCAGGCCCCACATTCAGTCTCATACCATTTTAAAGCTTCCCCCATGCCAATATCCTGAGAACTGTAATTTGTTAGTGTGCTGAGAGCTTTTAGGAAACCCCTATTCCCCATACAGAGCTACACTTCCCACGGAACTCTTGGAAATGTAGTTCTGTGTAGGGAATAGGAATATCCTAACAACTCTCAGCACACATAACAGGCTACGGTTCCTGGGATTCTTTGGGGTAATCATGAGTGTTTAATGTACTATGATACAGCTTCAGATGTGTAGTGCAGATGGGGCCCAACAATAATCAGTTAAGTGTTTCTAAGCAGAATGGATGTTACAAGTTCCACACAACATTCATTGATAATTCTACTTTTTCCAGAAAGGGTGGTTGGTATTTTAACAATATCTGAATTATGAAGAAAGGCTCTAAGCAGACAACTTCCAGAAGAAACAAGCAGACTGTTGCCAGTACTACCTGTAAGAAATTGTCCATTCAACCCTCTGAGCAGAAGATAAAAACATGCCAAAGAGATTTTGTGCAGCTGTTCCCACTAGAAGTCAGCTTAAAAGTTTTTAGTGAACTTGACATTCAGAGTTTATGCAGTGCTGCAATGACATGCAAAAGCTGGAATCAGACCATTGAGAACTGTGATGATTTATGGAAACATCATTGCTTGACTGTAAGGGCTGTCTGTCAGCGAGAGATTGACGACGACAGAGGAAACGGTTATTCATGGAAGGTAAACATTTGACTGTTGAAACTATGGTGGTGAATGAAGATCTTGCATTCAGATTTTCAGTCCAAGCACAATAGCACCCAAGTTGTTAGGCTCAATTGCCGTTTGGTAGGGCTGTTCACCTCCAGTACCAGTACCATTTAACAAGGTGGTTTGACATAGCATCATAATAGTACAGAGAAACATAGCTTAGCTTCCTCTCCTTTTAATCAATAAAAACAATACGTAAAAGAGAACAATGCATTCTCAAGGCTTCTGAAAATAATCATCTCCTAAGCATACATTGGATACAATAGCCCTTTGGCTAGCACCGTTGCAGCACATGTCTGGTGCCACAATAATTACTGAATTGCTTTGCTTGTTAGGCTCTTAATCTTACATTGCACTCTCCCTTTCCATGGAGGCACAGGTTACAGCAACAGCCAAGGCGACATTTTTCCACCTTCGCCGCATCAAGCAGTTGGTCCCTTACCTTTCCCACCCCGACCTGGCCACAGTGATCCATGCGACGGTCATCTCCAGGCTTGACTACTGTAATTCGCTCTATGCAGGGCTGCCCTTGAAGCTGTCCCAGAAACTCCAGCGGGTGCAGAATGCTGCAACGAGGCTCCTCACGGGGTCTCTGCCATGGGAACATATTCACCCAGTGCTTTTCAAGCTGCACTGGCTCCCGGTGGAGTACAGGGTCAGATTTAAGGTGCTGCTTTTGACCTTTAAAGCCCTTCACGGCCTAGGACCCTCGTACCTACGGGACTGCCTCTCCTGGTATGCCCCACGGAGAGCCTCAAGGTCCATAAATAACAACACCCTAGTGGTCCCAGGCCCTAAGGAAGTTAGATTGGCTTCAACCAGAGCCAGGGCCTTTTCAACACTGGCTCCGACCTGGTGGAACGCTCTGCCTCATGAGACCAGGGCCCTGCAGGATCTGATTTCTTTCCGCAGGGCCTGTAAGACAGAGTTGTTCCGCCTGGCCTTTGGCTTGGAGCCAATTTGATTCCCTCCCTCCCTCTTTTTCTTTTTTCTTTTCCTTCTCCTCCTGCGATGAGGCTACATTTTAATATTTTAATGTTCCATTATTTTAATGTTGTATTTTATTTTTGTTTTTAAGTTGTAATCATTCATCTTGTTTTTATTATTGCTTGTAAGCCGCTCTGAGCCCGGCCTTGGCTGGGGAGGGCGGGGTATAAATAAAAAATTATTATTATTATTATTATAAAACAAGGATATCCAACATGGTACACACATCAATATATTTTGGTCTACAACTTTCACCAGCCCCCACAACATGGCTAATGGTCAGATATGATAGGAGTTCAAAGGCTTGCAAAATCTAGATGATACCACATTGCCTAGCCTTAGGGTAAATATTTCCATAGTCCACTAGTGGGCAGTAGTAAACCTGTATCTTGAGAGTTCATTTTAACTTGCAAATACTTTTTTCTGGTGTAAGTTATTCTCAGTTTTAGGGTGTTTCCATATATAATGCTTGAATAGATCAGCAGAGCAAATGTTAAACCTATAATGGCTAGTATGTAGTCTCATTTATTTCTTTTACCTTCCCTTGTGCATTAGCAGTATTTTAACATCGTACAACCTGCATGAAACAAGTTCCAATGTGTCACATTTAGCAACAGGAATAAGCAGTCCTTAGTTCTATTTATGAAATGATTTGCAAACAATGGTTAATTAAGAGGAGGGCCAATTTAATTCATTGCTCATGGCTTTCTCATATTCCCACCCTCAGGTCACGCTCCTGAGAAACTACTGGAAAAGCAAGGTGAAGTATGAATGGCTGAGTGGGAAATATAGCAATATTCATTCCCGTGTTGCCTTGCCAGAAAAGAGCATGTATCCCATGGATGTGGACACCTGGGGAGAAATCCTGGAAGCTGAACTGGAAAGATAAGATGCCCAAATAAGGATCTTACACAGAAGGAACTAGAAATGAACTCATCTGCAGAAAAGAGTGTCCTATATACAATTGTGGCAGCTTTACACATTGCTGTTGTTTTGTTTTGCACTTTCAGAGCTGCTGTTATTTAATTGTTTGTTTTAAAGTTTGAAACGCAGTGTGTGTGTATTTCTCTTCTTGGACAACCCTCTCAAAATGTACTTTGCAAATTATGTCAAAACATGTTTGAAAGCTGGAATGTTATTATATTCTGCCTTAACCTGTTGCAGGAATTAGCTGGAAGGGAAGCTTAGGATGACATAGTAATGAAAAGAAAAGGAGCATGCCTGCTGCATGAATAAAGTCATTAGAAGGATTTTGATATACATCTGGAATAAGAGGAAGAACATTTGTAATTCATTGTCTGTTTCCATGCAGTTTTCTGGTTCACATTATTATCCGGTATGCTGGGCCAGAGGAAAAGGTTGAGAAACAGAGCAATCCTATACCTGAGAGCTGGTAGTTAATGGTTTGTGGGATTTGATGGAAGCCCTGCCACACTGCATGAACTTGAGCTACACTTCTAGCACAAAAGATACACCAGCAGTACAGTGGTGCCTCGCAAGACGAAATTAATCCGTTCCGCGAGAGTCTTCGTCTAGCGGTTTTTTCGTCTTGCAAAGCAAGCCCATTGACGGATTAGCGCTATTAGCGCTATTAGCGGTTTAGCGGCTATTAAAGGCTTAAAGGCTTAGGGGATTAGCTGCTAAAAGGCTATTAAAGGCTATTAAAGGCTTAGCAGATTAGATAAAGGGGGAAGCGAAAAAAATCTCAAGACTCGCAAGACATTTTCGTCTTGCGAAGCAAGCCCATAGGGGAATTCGTCCTGCGAAGCAACTCCAAAACGGAAAACCCTTTCGTCTAGCGGTTTTTCCGTCTTGCGAGGCATTCGTCTTGCGGGGCACCACTGTATATCCAAGATAGGCCAGTGGAACTGCTGGCATGGCTAAAATGGTGTGGCGAGGTGGGTGTGATGGATGGCACAGAGGAGGTACACACTTATGCTCCTCATGACAGACCATGATCACATCGCACCTATGGTGCATCTTTGCAGCAGCTAAGAACATAAGATCCAAAAAAGACCCTCCTGGATAAGGTCAATCTAGTCCAGCATCCCGTTTTCACCAATCAGATACTTATTTTGGGCTAAGCAAATGCTCGTGGGAAACCAGGGAGAAGAACATGAGCACAAGAGCACCTCTCATGGTTTCCAGCAGCTGGTATTCAGAAGATATATTCCAAAGAATGTTCATCTCGTTGACTTTAATGTGGGGCAGTGAGAGGGGGAGAAGGATTTTTAAAAGGGGCCTCATATCAGCAACCCCTGTGCCCATGGGTGGTCATCCTAGTGCTACAGCTAAGGTTCCCTCGGCACAAGGATTTTCCTTGCACAACAGAACCGTCTCTCCCTCTCCTTCCCTGTGCGCTTCCTAAATCTGTTCTGGGGTTTCCCCCAACCTTTCAGAGCATATTTGGAGACAGAGCAGAGTGCATGTGGAGGAAGAGAAGGGGGAATCCCCATTGCACTAGTGGAAATATTTTTTGTGGTGGCTTCCACTATTTAGTTGAATACAACCCCATGTTACCATGACAGAACAGAGGATATGCTGTAACTATACCACCAGTATATGTACCCCACATACCAGTAGATCCAAAACGTACATTTAAAGCACGCCCATTTAAAGCACACGACTTCTCACAAAGACTCCTGGGAATGGTAGTTTGTTAAGGTTGCTGGGAATTTGTAGTTCTGTGTTTAAATGAGTGTGTCGGGGGGAGGTGTCCTTTATCTCTCTGCCGTCAATGTGTAAACCCTTGGCGCTCACGAGCGAGCTCTGGTTGTAGACAAAAGGGAGAAAAGAGAATGTAGAAAGCTGCCTTATACCAAAGCAGGCCACTGTTAAGAGCGGTAGACTCGTAATCTGATGAACCGGGTTCGATTCCCCGCTCCTCCACCTGCAGCTGCTGGGTGACCTTGGGCCAGTCACACTTCTCCGAAGTCTCTCAGCCTCACTCACCTCACAGAGTGTTTGTTGTGGGGGAGGTAAGGAAAGGAGAATGTGAGCCGCTTTGAGACTCCTTCGGGTAGTGATAAAGCGGGATATCAAATCCAAACTCCTCCTCTTCCTCTTCTTCTTCTCCTTCTTCTTCTTCTTCTTCTTCTTCTTGGCAGAAGTGCTCCAAATGCATAGGGAACAGACACTTTCCAAAAATATGTGGAAGATTAATAATAACTGTACCCAGTAACCTGGGAGTAATACCCATGTAACTCTGTGGAACATTTCTGAGTAGACGTGCATTGTATTGTACCTTTTTTGTTTCTAAATGTTTTCATTTATTTTCTTTTTTTTAAAACATAATTTTTATTAACAGGCCAATCCAATCACATTATTTCCAAATCATATTACTTCCAAATTATACAGCCAGATTTTTAAATTTTGTTGGGGGTACCCTTACATCAAGCTCCGAACGAGAATCAAAACATCACTTCTGTTACTGCTTTTATCAAACAATTCTATCCAGCTCTGTCCAGATAGTCTCTTTATTACTTCTTCATCTTCTTGTTGTTATCATGTATTCCTTTCTTTGCAATCTCTGATAATCTTCGCAAGCAGGTTAGGAACAAACAACATCTGCGTGGATTTTGCACACTCCAAAAGTCATATCTCATAAGGACAGCCGCCATTACTCCCCTTCTTCAAAAATTTGTCCTCGGTCCGTCCTATTAATTTTCCCAAGCTTGCCACATATATCACAAAGGGGCTCTGCCAGGTTATCACATACAATCCATCATTTACATTCCAATGACCCTGGTCCTCCTCCCCTCGTCTTTCTTCGACAAGCCTGTCTTAGCAAGACGCCATTAACAACTGCGTCATAGAATTTTCCTTCCACACTTCATATTTACCAGTCCTCTCTTCAATCAATAATTCACTCCACACAGCTCTTAAATTCTTGCTTGCGATTAGTAAAATGTTTTCATTTATTTTCATGGTAAAGGTAAAGGGACCCCTGACCATTAGGTCCAGTCGTGACCGACTCTGGGGTTGCGGCGCTCATCTCGCTTTACTGGCCGAGGGAGCCGGTGTACAGCTTTCGGGTCATGTGGCCAGCAGGACTAAGCCGCTTTTGGCAAACCAGAGCAGCGCACGGAAACGCCGTTTACCTTCCTGCCGGAGCGGTACCTATTTATCTACTTGCACTTTGACGTGCTTTTGAACTGCTAGGTTGGCAGGAGCAGGGACCGAGCCACAGGAGCTCACCCCGTCGCGGGGATTCGAACCGCCGACCTTCTGATCGGCAAGTCCTAGGCTCTGTGGTTTAACCCACAGTGCCACCTGCGTCCCATTTTCATGGTACAGAGGATAAATTTTGAGAAAACAATTGTTACAACAGTAAACAACAAATAACTTGTCCTGACAGAATTACAGACTTTTATTATGCCATATGTTCAAATTTCATTTGATTACTCTAGGAGATCACCAGATAACTAGGAGGTAAAATAATCTAGAGACATGGGCTTACGGTGGTTTGGAATGCAATCCTATACCCCTGGGACGGGGAACCTTTTTCAGCCTGGGGGTTGCATCCTCATCTGAGCTACCTTCCAGGGAACATGCCAGTAGTGAATGTTGCCTGGTGCAAAGCTAGGCAGAGGAACAAATGTGAATTTTACCTTTGTACAGTAGGCTAGTTTTGACACACTCACAAACAACTGCATCTGCCATCAAGGCAAGTAAGAAGTGTTATACTAGAGTTCAAGGACATATTCCAGCCAGGCCAATTTGATTACTATCCCAAGTAATCAAATGATTGCAGCACTTTGTAGAGAGCAAGCTTTCTGTAGAGCAAGAGGCCTTCAGCACAACTTCTGCCATACTTATAAGGTATTCTTGTCTCAATCTCATGCTACAATCACGAATGATTTGAGGTTGTTTCTGTGAAAAACTGTGGAGGAAGAGAGAGATAAGCACTAGCTGTGAGCTGTGTAGGCCCTGTTTGATGCAGGTATCTCTCTGGGGATCTGATGTGGGGCAGCGTATCTAAGGGCTGCTGGGCTGCTTCCTTCCACCTCTGCTCCACTTGTGCATCTGTAAGTAAACCAAATATTGCAAAAGTGGACCCTCCAAGTGTCCCTATTTTCTTTCTTTTTTTCCAAATGATATTTATTAAAGTTTCACAAGAAAAGAATCACATTAATAAAAAAGAAGAATTTAAGAATAAAAAGAAAAATACACAATACAAAATACAAAAAGAAAAAAAGAAAAAACAGTTAAAAACAATTCCGTCTTTTCATCACTTCTTTTACATTAACTTGTTTCCCGGACCTCCTCATGCCTCCCTCTTTTGTATTCCAATTCAGTTTGTTCGTCCAGCAATTTCTTTCCCTCCTTTTTAATCCCAATCTTTAATCTTAATATATTATAGCATTAAATTTTTACCTATTAAAAACCAATTTTTCCATTCTTTTAACCATTACTGCTAGAAACCGCTTAACTTCAATCCGTCATCATTCTAACATTCATTAATTTTACAATATTTCTGTAAGTAGTCTTTAAATTTCTTCCAATCTTCTTCCACTGACTCTTCTCCCTGGTCTCGGATTCTGCCAGTCATTTCCGCCCAAGTGTCCCTATTTTCTAGAGTGACTCCTCTAATATCAACCATCTTTGACCCTGTGGTGGTGGTGGGGAGGCTTCTTGCTAACGCTGCTCTTGGGTCGGTGCTGCCCAGATGGCATTAACATCTCAGATAACTACAATCAGCAGAGGAGGCCCTGTTGGTGATGCTGCTGGGCGCTGCCCAGTTGGCGTGAACCTGCGACAGGGCATACTTGGTGAAGGTTCCACCCTCCCTGGTGAAGCATGTCTGTCTCCTTCATTAATGTTCAGATATCCGATGGTGGAAAGACACTTTTCTTGGCAACCTTGAAATTATTAGCTGTGATGACTACTTTGAGATGTTCTTAATGTTCTTAAGTACATTCAATAATATTTTGCTAATTTGTTCTTTACCACCCTGTGCTCATTTGGGAAGAAGGGCAGGGTAAACATTTAATAAATAATGAAAATAATTTTTAATGGAAGCCAAACCAGATAATGGGATTTATGATGACAGATAATGGGAGAACGAGGAATACAAAGTGAGGTTGCAGGGAACCAGGCAGAGGGCCTTCTCGGTAGTGGCACCCACCCTGTGGAACGCCCTCCCATCAGATGTCAAGGAAAATAAACAACTATCTAACTTTTAGAAGACATCTGAAGGCAACCCTGTTTAGGGAAGTTTTTAACATTTGATGTTTTATCGTGTTTTTAATATTCTTTTGGGAGCTGCCCAGAGTGACTGG